ACTTTTTTTTAATTTTGCTTTAATAATTAAAAATCCATTTGTCTTTGTTTATATGAATTTACACATAATGTCTATTTTTGTTTTTTTTTTTTCCCCCCCCCCCCCCCCCGGTAACTCCGAGATCGGCATGTTATTATAGGCTTTGGGGTTGACATCACCGGAGATAACTTCTTAAACCGTTGAATAAGCTTACTGCTGACTGTGAGCCCAGACCGACATAATCGATCTACGTTCAATGAAACCGTGACCTATCAGAGTCTTACCTCCTTCGTGTCCCCACCAACCCCCGCCACTCTATTTGGTTAAGATCAGAGCTGCTGGAAAGTCAGCTCAGCCCCTCTATTCGAAAAGACACTCCCTTTCTGTATTAAAGAGATATCCCCCCCTATTATCCTTCGTAATATCCTTCTTCAACTCCTCAACGTACAATGGCGCAATCTAATAAGGCGGTGACCCCGCTTATCATCAATAATGAGTCCATTGAGACCGATATCAAATTCGAGGTTCATGCCCCGGCTACCGGCGAGCTGAGTGGCTATTGCTACGGCGTGTCGGTCGACAATGCCAACCGCGCAGTCGACAGTGCCCAAGCCGCCTTTCTCTCGTGGAGAAAGACCAAGCCAGCCGAGCGCCGCGACATCCTGTTGAAAGCCGCTGACATCATGGTCTCACGCAAAGAGGAACTGATCCAGTACCAGCGCGAGGAGACCGGTGCCGGCCGGCCTTTCATAGAGATCACTTTCAATATGGGTTTGAACTTCATCAAGGATTTCGCGGGCCGGATATCCACGATCGAGGGTATCGTACCGAATGTCGCCGGGAAGGACATGGGAGTCATCGTATACAAGGAGCCGTACGGAGTGATTCTGTCAATTGCGCCATGGTAAGCTTCCGATCTCTGGTATACTGCGCTTTATCAGCTGGCCCCAACTCAACTTAATTGATGTAGGAATGGTCCTTACATCCTGGGTATGCGCGCCATTGCACTCCCTCTTGCGGCTGGAAACACCGTCGTTCTCAAGGGCTCGGAGCTCTCACCCAAGTGTTTCTGGGTTCTGGGCGACATCTTCCGCCAGGCCGGTCTTCCCGCCGGATGTCTGAATGTCATCTTTCACCAGCCCTCCGACGCCCCGGCCGTCACCAACGCGCTCATCGCCCACCAGGCTGTGCGCAAGGTGAACTTCACCGGTAGCACAGGAGTCGGCTCGATTATCGCTTCTCTCGCGGGCAAACACATTAAGCCTGTGCTTCTCGAGCTCGGCGGTAAGGCGTCCGCGATTGTTTTGGACGATGCGAACTTGGATAGGGCTGCCATGAACTGTGCCATTGGATCCTTCATGCACGTACGTAATGTTCATTCGAGACAATGATATCACACTGACACAATACACAGGGCGGTCAGGTCTGCATGGCGACCGAGCGGATTGTCGTGCAGCGCTCGATCGCAGATGCGTTCCGACAGAAACTTACCGAGACGACTGAGAAGTTGTTCGGCAAGGACGCGCCCGCGCTAGTTCTCGTCAACGCCGCGGCCGTCGCCAAGAACAAGAAGCTTGTGGCGGACGCCGTGTCTCAGGGAGCTAAGCTGCTGTATGGCGACCTTAATACAAGCGAATCCACCAACGCAGGTATGCGGCCGATCGTCGTCGACGGTGTCACCAAGGAGATGGACTTGTACGCGACCGAGTCGTTCGGTCCGACCGTGTCGTTCATGGTGGTGGACACCGAGGACGAAGCGATTGCACTGGCCAATGACACCGAATACGGTCTGACTGCGGCTCTGTACACCAACAACCTGTTCCGCGGATTACGGGTGGCTAAGCAAATTGACTCTGGGTGGGTTTTTGAGTTCCGAATACAGATCACATCCCCGGGTGGAGATTGAATTGAGGCTAACTTTGGGTCTTTTTTTTAGAGCCGTTCATATCAATTCTATGACTGTCCACGACGAGGCTGTCCTTCCCCACGGAGGATGGAAGAGCAGCGGCTTTGGTCGCTTCGGAGGAATTGCTGGATTCGACGAATTCCTCCAGACTAAGACTGTCACTTGGGAAGAGTAGAGGTAGACTCATAGGTGCATAGCAGACCTGTTCGATTCGGCCCCATTTTAGGTCCGCTTGGTCCCCGGTGAGATTGGGCCGCCACGGGCGAAGGTTTCCCTGATTGTTCTGACAGGGCTTGGTCGGGGCTTGTTTGGAGCCAAGTTGGGGTTTAGTTGGCTTGGATCCGAACCTTGTCAATGCAGCCAATGACAAGCACTTCACGTCGCCTCGAGGTGCTAGTTGTACAGAAGGGGTCCGGGTACCCGGGGTTGAATGGCTCGATGTGTGATTCATGTTGCATCGGGCGTGCAGCATACGAAGTAGTATATGACTAGTCTATGAGATGTTTTGGTATTTTGGGTTTTTTTTTTCTCTTCGTTTTTTATTTTTGGCTCCCACTTTTGCCATGAGGCTGAACGTCATGTGATTCACATTTCCCCCTCAGACGAAAGCTAAAAATTCCCGTCTCGTATTAAGCGAAGGGCTGAGCCTATGAATAGACCTAATGTGGTGGGATTCCAGCCTGAGACCCGGTTAAGAAACATTCAAACCTCGATAGTTGCGGCGAAGATGCTTGGCACAAGTCCCACCCTAAATTCAGGCACAGGAACGTAGCAAATCACCGCGAATTGCCAGGTGAGACAAATCCATTCTTTATTCGTATTTTGATTTTTCATTCTTACATGTCTTAGTAGGAAATGAAGGATTACAATATGTAAACAACATAGGATACTATGTATCACTCTATACAAGCTGGTCAACTTCGACCCCTGAATATCAAGTTGATCCTTCCCATAGACATCACAACCCTAATAATGAACTGGTGTGATCGGCGATTGTATGTAGTTTTTGATATGGCACGGGCCTATCGGTGTGGAGTTATGTTGCGATTGACGTGATAATCGTGAATATCAGTGAACATCAGTGAATATCAGAATCTTACCCTGCAGGTTCAGTTTGAAATCTTGTTTCCCCCGTAGAAAGGACACATGGTACCTGCAAGGCACAGCGCCCTGTGCGGCTGTATGGTACAATACCCGTACGACGCCTGTCATTGGGCCCAGGCTTGAGGGCGCAATCTCGTAAGCTTGCAATCTCCGAAGATTTAGCGATTCCTCTTTTCCTAAACACGGTGGAAATGAGGATCATAAATGCCTTGCAATTTGAGAAGTATATGCATTTTATTGCTTATAGTACAAACATGTCTACAATAGCTACATATATATATAAGATGTTCGGAAGGGCTATGGCTACCGTGGGTTATCGTCGGGTCATCTTCGAAGGTTTTGGTCGCCAAGGGTTCCACGGGTTGGTATTGGCAGAACCTTGGAACCTTGTAAGCCTTAAAAAGGTAAACAAATATGTCAACAGAGACTCCCCTTACCCTGTCTTTGTCTCATATGCCCTCATTCCTATTTCATTAATACTTGTGGATGCTTGTGAATACTTTCCAATGCTTTTTAATACTTCTTCCTTAGACCCAGTCTAGTGGTATTTTTAATCTTCCCTACCGGAACATTCTCTACATTAAGGGTCGGCCGTTATTAGGGATAAAATTAACTTCCGGGGGACCCACCAATTAGAAACGGTACCTGGTTCTGATGGTACTTGACCCGTCACGTACAGCATGATATTATACATAATTGTTCTAATAACATCTGAGTCACAGCCGGCCCGCATGCCCCACGAGGACAAGATGCTGCATAATTGGGCACGAGACCGCAGATGATACAACAGGATGACGGTATAGCGTCAGTGTGATAGGTATTTACAATACAAGTCCAGCCACACAAAGTAAAATGTAGCCGAAATGAGATGCGATATGGTTGGTCTGCGCGATCTTTTGGTTTTGGGGGCTTTTAATGTCGGCCCCACTTTTGCATGCACCTCCAAACTAGAAATGTACAAAGTAGTTCATCTCCCCTCCTTCTCGCTTTCTTTCTTCCTCTTCTCTCCATTCCACTCACAATCATTTTTTTCGTTCTTCAACGATAGTCATTCTTTTACCCTCACCCCAGTCACTCTTTGTCAATCTCGACACTACATCATGCGTTTCACTATCGCCACCGCTTTCTCTGCCTTCGTGGCTCTGGCTGCTGCCTACACTGCTCCTGATTACAACCAGCAGCCCAGCGGCAATGCCATCACCTACCCTGGTCTGAATGAGATCGTGCCCGAGGGCAAGGCCTACACCATCAAGTGGACTCCCACCACTGTTGGCCCTATCTCCCTCATTCTTCTGCGCGGTCCCTCCACCAACGTCCTCCCCCTCGAGACTCTTGCCGAGTCCATCCCCAACAGCGGCGAGTTCAGCTGGACTCCTAGCGCTGACTTGGAGGCCGACGTCACCCACTACGGTCTGCTTCTCGTTGTTGAGGGTACCGGCCAGTACCAGTACTCCACCCAGTTCGGTATCTCCGCCGCTGTTGTCTCCAGCTCCAGCGCCGTCGCTAGCTCCACCACTGAGACCACCGCTTCCGCCTCCACCCCGGTTGCTGCGTCCACCGTTATCGAGAGCACCGAGATCACCACCACTATCTGCCCCGAGACTGAGACTACTGCCGCTGCCACCACCGCCGCCACCACTGTTGCTACTACTTTCGCCACTACCCCCGCCCCCAAGGTCACCCCCACTGGTGTTTCTCCCGTCAAGCCCCCCACCAGCACCCCCTTGACCTCCATCCGTCTCACCACCAGCGCTGTCCCCACCGCTTCTCCTTCGGCCACCCCCGTCTTCAACAGCGCTGGCCGCAACGCCATCAGCTTCGGTGCCGTCATGGCCGGTGTCATCGCTGCTTTCGCCCTCTAAGCGCATTCCTAGAATGGAATTGCGTGCCGATGGCATTTTCTTTCTTTCTACTACAAGCGTTGAAATAGCATTTTGTTATTCTCATGAGGCTTAGTTTATTGATATCTTGATATGGGTTTTCTGGATTTTGTCTTCCGGCTGAGTTTCCGTATCTCATACCATGTTTTTCTTGTGTGCTATTTTTTCTCGCATCTTTCTCAGCTATGGTTGCGTAATGTGAAGTTCATGCCCTTATGTTTCTTCCTCTTTGTAGTCTACTTGTCCACAAGTGGATCCTAAGCATAGGTTGAGTTTCACTCGCATAGACTCGTAAGTATCTAGAACAGTCTGCCTAGAAAGGAGGTAGTCTGACCGATAGACATGGTAGATGTGTAGATCTCTCATTGCCAAGAAGTTTCCAAGGTAATTTTATGGAGACACGGAATCAGGTAGAATAGGGGCAAAGAGAGGTCTGGCAAACATTGCCTGAGCAATAGGAGTGGCCTCGTCTTATAGTACCACACATATAGCAAACAGCCTAATGTGGAAAACCGACTGCACTTAAAAGATGTGATATGTAGAAGACAAGCAACGTCACAACAAAGAAAAAGTATATAGTTCCAAGATTAGTTATAGAAGGTAAGTTTGAAATACATTTGTTACACTACATGATGTTTAATACAACCATTTTGGGCTCTCTTCGTAGTGTAAGTATGCACCCTGCCACTTTACTTCAACTTACGTCTAGGAGAAAAGAGGGATGTATAAAATTCAGTTCTATTTCTTCAGTGACATTGGACAGTTAGAGTTACTAAACAGACTATCACGCCATGTGCTTAGCGCTCCTCAGACTATTTGATAGTGTAGCTTCTCTTTGATTTGGCGATAAAAGAGCTTCTAGAGACTGTATTTAGCATAAAACTCCCCTTCAAGATATCTATAGCAACCATTCGTTATTCTCCCCAATTCCAAGGACCGTACTTCCTCAGTATTGTAACAGCCAAGTCTCTCTAATCCTCCAAAGCCAAAACAAACAATATGGACCAAGAAAGCCTTTTCTCCTGGCTTGTTTTCACATCCTTCTCCCTCTATTCATGGCCCTTTTAAACCACTTGCTCAGGCCCATCCTAGCCCTGCTAGCCCTCACAACCGTCAATTCTGTAGACCAGCTGTTATATCAACTCCGCCTGTTTATACAATTTTAATCCTCTGTTATGGGACCGTACGGCCCCAATTCCAAGCACTACTTTGATCATCAGATATCAAGTTGAACATGCCTATTAACGCGTTAGTTAGAAGCCATGCTCACTGATCGCACCTCGGCTCCACTCACGCTCACCAAAGGCAGCGAATGTATCGTCAAGTTGTTCGAAGATATTGGCAGACGGGTATTCAGGCGGTTTGACGGGTGCTTGGGCTATTCGGTCGTTTACCCTACTATGGTCGTGTATTGCCTGGGGCAGTGCGTGACTTGTTGACGTTGAAGACTGATCGAGGGAGGTATCTCGCGAGGATAGTGAATCACTCCTTGTATGGTCTATACGCGGCTGCGCATTCAGAATGGAACCCCTCTCAGATATACGCCTGGGAATAATTGTTTCCACCCCGCGTCTCAAGGCGCTGGACATCTCTCGATCGACAGTTACTTTCAGCAACTCTGTCAGAAGCTGTACGGTCTGCTTGGCAATGCGATTGCGGGGCCCGAAAGCTGAGCTAGCATGGATAATACGTATGATTCCAGCCTTGGCCTCGTGTGCAGCTGAAGTAAAAGGTTGACAGGTTGGCAGGATGCAAAGGATCACTCCTGCAGTAAATTGCTGTAGGGAGGCGAAGGATTCGGCGAAATGATGCTTGAAACGGAGGACCGGAATGTGAGATATTCGTAGCGCAGCTGCAGTGGCCACCCGGAACGACTCGTGGATTGCGTCTACCACCAAGCGCGAGCAAGAACTAGTGATTTTCTGCTCAAGTAAAGGTCGATGGGCTTGTATCAGAGCTCCATCGTATGTTAGTTGGAGTATTGCCGCCTGTAAGATGATTGTTTCTGCTTGATATTTAGTGCGTTGCGGTAACATTTCGATTTGCCGTTGGAACTGCTCTAAGCGATTGTCACAGCTCCAAAACTCGAAATCGAATAGCCGAGGAACCCTTTTCCGCCAGGAAACTAATTGTTCCTCTGAGTCTTGTGCAGCTTCCACAATTGCCAGAAGGTCCTCTTCTATTGTCTCTTTTCTCAATTGAAGACGACGAAACCGTGAAAGTATGTCTCGAATGATGTTGTAGATCTCATATTTCATAGCGAAAAATCCAGCTGTCGTTTTTGGCATCCCATCGCCAAATATCCATTCGTTTTCCAGCAGAAGTGGATCAATGGCTAGGTCGTCCATTTCTCTAGGCGAATGCAAAGCGACAAGCTCAGTGTCGATAGAGCAAGGTCGCCCATAGACGACAGACGCAAACGTGTCGCTGGAAATAGCATGATTCCAACAACGAGAGCGAATTTCATCCACAACTGGACTTTCATATTGGACTGATTTTGTATAAAGATGAAGGGCATTGGCAGACCTCACACCCATACCAGAGACAGTCCAAGCAAGACTCGGCGATCTATGGTAAATATAATAGGAGGAAACCAGGAGGCAAACCTGGACAGCTTCGATTCGACAATCGATTGAGATATCAAGTAGATTCCGTTGTATCTCATTGTTCAAATAGTGCATCAACTTCTCCCCATCAACGGAGTATTCTCGCAACAATTCGTGCCCAGGCCATCTATCATCTGGTAAGACCGAATGCAGCCCAATCATAGCCACTGCCAGGACAAGCATGGTAGTACTGAGATCTTGGCGTCTCCAAACAGTCTGGGAAGTTATCCTGCGTGCAGTCTGCCGGAACGAGGGCTCGTGAAGCAGCAAGATAAACCATTGCATACGGTCGAAATAGACGTCAACCAAGGCTAATATCACGGCCTCCGGGGGAAGCTCTACCTCTGTCGGATGATGCCATAATGAGTTGTCCAACGTAGGAGCTTCCGTATCATCAGGGATAGGGATCGATGCACCGGTCAGAGTCCGGCCAGCCTCTTCCTCGTTAAAGACTTGTCTGGCGAAGTCAATCGCGAAACCATTAGCACCAGACTGCAGCTCTTCCGGAGAGCGTTCCGGATAGGAGGCATTAGCACCAGGAGGCAGCTCTTTCGAAAGGCGTTCCGGACAGGAGGTTGAGCTCTCTGGGGCAGAAGCTATTTCAGCTACTCCAGCACCATGGATCGAGTTAGAATCTTTGGGTGGCGCTGGTGCGATTGCTCTGTGTACTCCAGAATTCATATGTCGACGTCTGCCCCTTGGATTTTGTCCGCGGGTCCGTCTCACTCTGCGCTGGGATGTCTCGCATTTATCCCCGGCGCGAGTGCAAAGCACACATGGATGTGCGCCGTCACACTATGCGAACACTGTCAGAACCATAGTTTCAAACCAGGAGTGTTATGAAGGGATCTACCTTGAGTTTCTGGCTGAGACATCTATCACATTCTCGCGATGTACGGGGTGGCTTTGGCACCACACTAGTCTTTTGCTCCATGAATATAGCGAGATGGTGCTTTAGCCAATTCAAAACGGGTGTCACCGGGGTCACAACCGGGGTCCCCGCAATTTCGGGATACCCCCCTTTGGATAACATTCGTACCCCCTGCCTGAGAATTTAGGCGTACCTTCCTAATTGGGTATAGATCATGTACACCGCCTTCTGACTTTACACCGCTCTTGTGTTAAAAGTAGTAAGACAGCAGGTACCTACAATTTGTATGTAAACTCCTAATAGAAGTAGGTCACTCCTGTCATATCGTATCCTATAGGTACAACTGCTTCATCAACTGCTTTATCATCAGGGGGTTGAATCATATAGGAATAATGCATGTTCTTTCACCATGTAGACAAGAATTAGGCAGAATATATGGCAGTATTCTTGGTTGCACCTAATTAGGAAGGGGCGGTACTGAAATCTCAGACAGGAGGTACGGATATCGCGCCCTGGAAATAATAGTATCTTGGTTGGTTTCATTCTGTGTACGCTAAAATGACTAAATGCTTTTTAAATCGTGTAATTGCTTCGCTTCGCTCCGCAATCAAGTTGCGGTCAAACCCAAGAGATGCCCACGAGCATTCTGCGCCCGTGACAGAACAATCTCAGCCGCAGGATATGTTTGTAGTAAATACCCAGCCGCTTCCTCGCAGGCATACAAGTTCGACATGGCCTGCATCCTCACAATATCATCCGAAACCTTCAGGTCAGGAAGGCTTGCCTCCAGAATAATAATCAGTATAGTAATAGTGCTTCCAGGGAGAAAATGAAGTATCCTGCAGTCATGTAGCTCATTGAGAATCTCGTTGACTTGCGAAGTCAGGCCTCTCATTTCCGATATAAGGGTCGTCTGAAGACCATCTCCTCGGCTCGACGCATCTTGGTAGAGTACTGACATTGTAGTGAGATGGAGGAGATAGAGGAACGCTTGGTGAACGAGGAGGACAATCTCCGGAGACTCGGTATGGCAACCGTGCAGAAGTGACGGGGAGAAATAATGGGCCGGGGCAGGAAGGTCCTCAATCCAGGTCTTCAGAAGCTGTTCGCATTCAGTTATAGCAGCCTGTGGCACATTCGACTTGGGTACCATGGCGTATTTATAGTCCCCCGACGGCGACGGCGACCAAGCATCTTGATACAGAAGATTGATAATGACGCCCACGCAATGAGCAAGCTTAATCTCCTGGATGAATAGAAGCATCATCCGCTCTTGGTTTTCCCAGTTGAGCATGGCGGCTGCTTCTCCCAGCATAACTAGGACGAGGTCGTGGTAGGGCTCGGAGGAATAGTATCTCGTAGATTCCAGTAGGGACATTGTGACATCGCTGTTTGGGATTCGTAGTGGTCGACGGAAACCGAGGGAGAGAATGCGGTCGCGCACATAGAGACACCACCATAGTCTGTGCTTGTGAGAAAAACTACCTGTTTCTAGACTCCCAAGGAGACCGACGCGCTCTGCTGTGGAATACGCGAGATCAAACCAGTATGTTGGGATTTTGTGGCCAACTCCACTTCCATGCCACTGCATCATAAGCAATAATGCTTGGATCTGGGTGTATGCGTCTGGTTCGGTCTCGAATTCATAAAGAAGCTGATGATAGAGTCGAGATTAGTCCTGACTTGTCATGGATTCTGTCTTTCTCAATCTCACCTTGGCTCGCCCGAATAATGTCCTTCGCAGTGCTTTCCGTGACGAGAACCCGGCTTTGACGGCAGCTTCCTGCTCAATAAATGCACTGCCAGCCAACATGACAGCTTGATGAAGAAGCGGGCTCGGAAATCGGGATTCATCCTCGACCATGACACTTGATAAAAACCATTGCAGATCAATGACAGGCAGGAGAGGATGGACATATTTGATATAAGCCCCCAGCAACTCATTCCGGAGGTCGACGGGAACTATCCTGAGAGCTCCTTTCAAGTGTAGATAACTTTTACTTTCTTCAGAGAGATTCGGAAGCCGAGTTTCGAAGGTTCGCTGCAGTTCAAAGGGCTGATTGTACTCCCCTAGAATCAGATCCGGGGTCGGCGGCGAGAGCAGCTCATTGATCGTCGTAAGATAACTGTCTAAGGGATATGTCTGGGGCACGTGGTTCGTCAAGGTCATATGTGGTTGAGATATCGGCTTCCTCCCCGATGCGATGAACTGTCCGAAGGCATCTAGAGACGTCAGCGATGATGCGGGGATTGGGGATATGCTTGACGGAAGTGTTCCTACCTAGATCAACCTGGCTCCCGTTCAACCGGTCTACATCCTCGGCATTGGAGAAGGCCTCCAGAAGAGTAAGAGAGGATGGCAGATCCATCGGAACGGACCCCGGTCGCTTCCTCCGTTTGCTGCTAAAGGGATTAGCGCTAGGGAACCTCTAGAGTAGCTCCTCTCTCGGAACTCGGAAAAATTTACCTTGATTGGGGACAGTGTTAAAAGAACTCGACTGCGACAACACGTGAACGGTTTCGCACTGGAGTTTGGACTGCAATCCACTCTTATGATGATGTTGTTTTCTTCTTAGCCCGACTTTGTATGTTGTAGTTACTGTGAGGATTGCCTTAATATGAGAGGAATACGAGAAAGACCCGTCATCCGTGGGGAAACTCGGGGCCCCGCATTTCGAGGATCCGAGAAGTTTTCTTGGCGATAATTGGCTGTGCTGAGTGTCGTCTGGAATCTTAACTGCTTGGAGATTTCGGTGAGTGGAGGAACTTCCGGTGGAAGAAGGGCTTCCACCGGAACTTCACGGACCAATCAGATAATTACTAAGTTGTACTCCATTATTATTAATCATGAATAATTTCATAACTAGATCAAGACCATAGAGATATTTAGAACTAGAGTAGCACCTGTATATATTATCTACGGCCTGCCTGATAGATTCTACATGTGTTTATGATGTCATATGAACCACCTTGTGCTACCTTAGCCTGTGTTACCCATAGACCAATCACTTCCTAGTATTGTATGTCTCAAAGTTACATGGCAAGCTAAGCTTTTTAAGACCTCGATCCAAGCGTTTCCTAGATACGTCTAGACAGCTTCGGCGATTGAGTCCTCAGATGGTGGTATTACGAGGTTTAGGTCGGATTTCAACAATTAAGTGGTAAAAACTGTCATATTGGGCTTTCCAGTTTTCAAATATCTTCCAACTTCAATCAAAAATGATGATTTAATACATCGCCGATGGAGGTATCACCGCTGTGCAATCCATACACAAAGAGAGAGCGAGAAGAATCAAAGCAGAGGGACAGGATGAGGAAGTAAGACAGGGTAATATAATGACAGCGAATACAGAGAAGTATAAATTGCACTTTTGCAGAACCAGACGAGTCTTTTGATGAGGACAGGAAGAAATGCAGATAGTTATACACACCCAGCCTAAAGGAAGAGGCACTTTTAAGTAGACCACCTCACTAAAGGAGTGTAGACCACCTGCGAGCGGCCATGCCAGTGACCGCTTGTTTGTCTCTCCTGGTAGCAGTGGCATACACAAGAGAGAGGATGATTAAGAGTGTAAGGAAAAGGGGAAAAAAGACAAGAATGAAAGAAATAATAATTGTCGCTTGATTCGGCAGCCGGCAAACTCAAATCAAGGACGTGACCACGATCCCTGCAGCGGAGGCAGTTGGCCCCCAGATAGCGACGGCGACCGGGAATGCGGGCCAGCAACCGCCCGTCCGGCGGATGCAATGGGGGTTGAAGAATACGGAGGACTTGCAGGCCAAGTAGGTTGAGACTGAACTGATTCGAGCATCCTTCCCTGGGGCGGATTGGAAGTCGGCTGTGTGCCTAAAGCGGATCGGGCAGCATCGACGCCCGACCACGATGTCGTGGTGCCCGGTTCTGATGCAGGGAGGAGGGTTGGTTGGGCGGAGCGTGGAGAGGAGGGCCTGGGGGGTAAGGCGCTCAGAGACATTGTGCGGCCGAGTTGGTCGCGGTAGAAGTCTCGTTCGGAGCGGTAGTGGTCTCGTTGCTGGACGAGGAAGCGGATCTCTTCGCTCTGACGACGGACGGTTTCTACATTGCGCTGGATCTCGTCCTGCTGTGCGGTGAGCCGCTGCTCCAGTTGCATTTCGTTGCGCTTGCGATTGCGGAACCGTCGTGATGCGTCGCTGTTAGCTTTGCGCTTTTCGGCTTGGCTGGAGGAGCCGGATCGCATGTCTAGTACGCATGGTATCATGCCCAGTGGAAGGGAACTATCCTGTGGTGTTCCGGCTCGGGTGGGGTGTTGCTCAGGTTGGCGTCTGGGGCCTTTTGTTGCGGAGACGGTTCGAACCACAGGGTCCAATGTCATATATTGAGGCGCAGTAGGATATGATGCGGTGCTTTGTGCGAGGGAGACACTGGTCACTGCTGGGGATGCATGGCCAAAGTGATTGAAAGTTGAATGAGACGTGATAGGACTCGTTTCTTGGGATTTCAGGTTGCTGAGAGGCCCCGGGCCGGCACTAATTCGCCTGGAATGCATACTGGTAGAATGCAGCGAGGGAGGCTGAGTGCTAGTGAGAGGTGCTATTGAGCGTAGGCCCGTCTCCATGGGCAAAGGCGAACTAGTGACGGGTAGGCGTGGGCCCATCAAAGGTTCATGAGGAAGTAGTGGTGACTGGGCGACACTAGACTGACCAGAAGCCCTGCCGCCCCCGCCGACAAACCGCGCCGAAGGCGATGCTGGATTCATCAGAGGCCGTGAGTAAGGAGATAGCGGCTGCGACGTCAATGCATATCCTGAACGGATTATGGGCGAGGTCCCTTGGGGACGAGGTGAGGATGATGGACCCGGTAGGCTCAGTGGCTCACGGCCGGCCAGGTCAGTTGTTGCTTGTGGATGATTCAAGATGGCATGAACGCCAATGGGTCGGGACGACATGGATTCCAGTGGTGGCTCCACGGGTCCGTATGGATGCCATGACTGGGGCCGAGGTCGTTGAGGTGGCCGGCGGGTAGGATTGCGGTTGAAGGTACGATCATTGTCACTTCCACGGTCATCAGTTTGCGTCACATCTCTGGACAATGAACCAGCACGTCGAGAATCCTGCGACATAGAAAGCAAATCTCCCACGACGGGGCGGGAGTTAGGGCATGACCGGAACCCCCCTCTCTCCTCGTCGCTGGGTTCTCGAGGAGTATGAGAGAGGGAGGGTGACGGCGATGGATATCGATCTGAATAGAGTGACAGGTTGAGGGAATGTGAGCCCGAATACGGTGCAGTCAACACACTGATTCCTAAGGCCGCCACGATGAAGACAGTGAGAGGGATATATAGAACAAGACACTCGATTCACTCAATTGAGGATCGAGGAGAGATAATCAATACAAGGAAGCTAAGGAAGCTAGAAAGATGGGGAAAAGATCCGAGGCCCTTAATAAAAGCTAGGCAAAGTGACAAAAGCGACAAAGTCAGGGAAAGTGAGGAAATTGGAAAATGGGGCAAGCTTAAGAACAACCGTTGGAATTCGCAGCGGTGAGAGAATGATCCATCACCTGGTCTGGATGGCTCCAAGACAACTTAGTTGTCTCTTGTCCGACCCAGTCTGGCGGATAGTTGGGCATCTCCTATGGAGACCTCCAACCCCCGGAGTATTGGGCTTATTTTATTATTTTTGTTATTTTTGTTTTTGGGCCTTTTTATTTTTAGTTTTGGTTTTTAATAATAATTGCCATGCTAAAATAGAAAAAGAAAGGAAAATCAAAACAAATCAAATCAAAATCAATATTGAAGTAGATATAGAATACGTCCAATCTGTCAATCTGTCAGAGTGACCGATATCACCCCCTATTATAGGCCATTACCGGATCCAGCTATAGAGTCATCCTCCCCTAGTCACATCTAGGAAAGGACCTAAGCACCCGGGGAAAGCGATCGTCATGCACAGCACGAATCATCGGGAGCTGCAAGTGTGCGCCGTCACCATGGACATGGACAGGGACAGGTGGAGACCTTTTTTTTTTATTTGTTTTTTTTAATTTTGGTTTTTGCCTCTTTCGATTTATTCATTAATTCCTTTGGGATTTTCAGGGAGTCAAGTGTGGTAGGTTTGAAGCGTCCACGGCTAGAAGGGCGTTAGTGGAGGATAGTATCCATGGATGGCAATGTATGGGGGACCTAGAAGGTTCCTTTTCTCTTCTCTGGGAGTCAACGGATGACGCATGGCAATATAAGTAAAAGAGAAACGCCGAACTACTCCATTTTCCACCTGTCCGATCTATACCCACTCGGGTATAGTTAGTCAGGCAATCCCCAATAGTTGCCTGGTAAGCCTAGTAAGCCGTCCTGTCAATTTCCGAGAGTTTGGCGCTTGGAGAGACTAAATTCCCGAGATACTATTAATCTAGATAGAAAGGGTGGGATATAAAAAAAGTACACAGGCAGAAAGGAAGAAAGGATGTTCTCGCAAAGTTTATAATACATGCATGTTGTGCATCACCAAATCCTCCCCGTGTCCCGGTTAAAGGGCCGTTGCCGTTGACCGTTGGTATCTAGCAGAGTTCCGTGCCTTTGAAGTTTCGAGGTCAAGATTTGTACAATCTATAACTTGGTATCTACTTGACGTCATGGAACAGGGTAACGCAGAGAACAGACACCAGACGAGACAACTTAAAACCCACTTCGTTTCACCCCTTGGTGTGACATTGATAGTCCGCTGAAAAATGATGTAATTTGGAACCCGAAAGTAAATAAACAGAAAGGTAAACAGCAACCAGGGGACACACCTCTTCTCTATCACAACCGATTTGACGCTCCACGATCGGACCAAGCGGAAAGGGATCCGGCCAGGATTCCACTAGCCGCATGAGCTGCATGAGAAACCCGTGTGGATAGCTCTATTCCCGGAGGCTGTCGAGCTTGTCCGAGGTCACGGGATAAAGACTCCGCGTGGCGACCCTCAAATAAGCAGTGGAGATCGCTTTAGTGTCGACTTCGTACTCCGTAGTCTGGACGCACTGCACCAAAGTGGATTCTTCGAATGGAAAATAAATTGCTTTCATGATTTTATGAGATAGGCGAGCTGGCGCTGCCACAGCTGAAGCGCCTCTTCTTGGCACTTGCGTTTTGGCTTGATCTTGCCGAGATATTGAAGCATTGTCCGAGAAGACGCCATGATCTCCACGCATTCCAATATGGGGTTCCATCTTCCGACTCCTACAAGTGGGTAAAGCTGTACGGACAACGTATGATATATTTTCTTTCGATGTGTTGGCAATGTCCAAGTGCCGAGGTTGCTTCCGACAGGGTTAGAGGAGCTGTCAGTCTTTTGCTGCAGCAGAGTCCCCGCTATTGTTCCTTTGCTTTTTCTTTCTTTTCTTTTTTTCGGGCGAATCATGCATATTCGACAGACAATTGCGGTCTGATAGATCCAGTGGTTCTGACTGGTTGGATCGAACAGGGCTTAGATGTTCCCCAGAGAATTTGGAAGCGAATTCCACGTTTCTCTTCGTTCTGCTCCTTACTCCGTATGGAGTAGGGCTGTGCTCTCTGTCAACTTGTGGCTGACAATCTCAAACCGCCGTCCCCAGACCATTGAGTCTGGTTATCCCCGACATGCCTTCGGGATGCGTGACATCGAACTATTTGAATTGTGCAGAGCCGGAGAAGTTAAAAAGATCCGGAATCCATTAGACTGGATTCATCGAGAACCCGATTCTTTTTCTTTTTCTTTTCCTTTTTCTTTTCCGAAATTCAGGTGTTGACTCTGCACTTCGGAAGTGGATAACGCTGTCCCCCCTTTTTATGATCTGCTTCGGCCTCACCGCACGGATCTCCGATTATCTCGTGTCCGCTGCAACCGCATTTTCCCTGAAAAAGCAGAAGAATAGCTTTGTCGGATCTAGATTGGCATATCTCCCGCTGACAGGTACGGTAGATGTTCCCCCTTCGGATCAACACACCCACATAGTCCGAAAACAGCGGAAAAAAAGCACAGCACATTGCGATACACCACCTATCACTTCGTGCCTCCGCCCTGCAGGGCGGGCCCCGCCAGAGAAAAAAAAAAGAGGTGGCAGTGCTGGTGCCCACGCGCTACCTAGCCTCGACCGAAATCTAGCCGAGTTCGAAACCGAACGGAAACCAGGGGAATCAAGGCCAAGTCCTATATTAACAATTGCATGTACGTATGGAGTATATGGTCGACAGGATGTGAGATGGAAATGCGAACGCCGATTCGATCTATAAACCTGGGTTTGTGTCCCTTGCGTGGCCTGCAGTGGAAGACTACCCAGACCCAGGTTTCCGGACAATGACAGCGCGGACCGACGTGCTCGCCCGTTTGCTGATCCTCGATCCACCCAGCTTCACGCTGCATAGGAATTGTCGTCTGTGTTTTTTTTTTTTTCTTTGGGTTAGCTACCAATACCGCCTTTTGGATCTAATTTTTGGGGGACGTGCAAAGTACTAGTGATGCGCAATTGATCCTTCTGCTCTACGTTGTACGGATACACGTCGCATCGGATGCCGAGGTATGGAGTAGAATAAGAATATACCAAATCGAATTAAGCATGTACCATCCCGGCAGTATGTATGTGCTATGTATGTACGAAGTACGGAGTACCATGTACTATGCAGCTACGTATCCAAGGATGTCTGATGCACACGATACACCCTAGTCCTGGAACCGAAACTCATTCTTAGGCACGCCGCGGACCCCGACATCAACCCTGAAAACCCGGCCGCCGTACCTAACCGACTGCGGCAGCCGGTCATCATCACGATCATCCTTGGCAGTAGTGATAAACAGCTCTGTGCCGACAAAGGCTGGACAGGTCACGTTGCGCGTCGGCAGATCGATCTGACCGATAACCTTTCCGGCCGGGGAAATTCGCAGGACCTTTCCGCCGCCGTAGACAGCGCTCCAGATGCAGCCCTCGACATCAATGGCAAAGCCATCCGGCTCTAGCGCATTGCCGATATCGAAGTGCACTCGGCGGTTGCTGATCGCGCCGGTGGAAGCGTCAAAGTCAAAGGCAAAGATCTTGCCTGTCGGTGAATCCGTCAGGTACATCACGTCGTCGGCTAGATTCCACCCGATCCCGTTGGGGATCGTCACCGGTGCCAGCATGTGGTGCACACTCTGATCTGGATCCAGTCTGAATAGGACCCCTTCTGCTTCCGGCTTCTTGATCTTTGGGTCGTTCATGGCCCCGGCCCAGAACCGGCCGTGGCTGTCCACGGCACCATCATTGAAACGCATCCTATATTTTGTAACAATTGGGGTTAATGTTAGTCGACGTTCTTCGATGTAGCTGTGGATTCTTTTCTTTTTTTTCTTTTTCAAACCCTTACCTCTCTGCTTTCCCCTCATCTTCGCCCCAAAGTTCACGAATACCGTGGATATAGGAGAGGTTCCCGGTAGTCTGGTCCAGCCGGGCGAATCCATGTTTGGCTCCCACAATCAGCTGATTGGATGAGTTGGCAATATTGGCGGTGACGCTAAAAGTCCCACGTGGTTTTCCCCGTCAGCAAAAGTGAATTTTTAGTTGATTTCCAGAACGGTTGGGAACCCACCCAACAGCGGCGTCAGTATCAATGGCCGTCAAGGAGTCAGGGCCCTTTGTCAGATCGAGGCGATATAGTTTGTGATCCCAGATATCCACAAACCGGAACTCGTTTTTGGCCACATCGTGAAAGGGCCCTTCGAGCAGCGTTCCTGGGATGTCGAGATACGGCTAGTCGAGTTAGTTGTCTGTGATTGGCGTAGATTTCTTTTTCTTTTTTTCTTTTTTCCTGTTCTGTGATACGCTCGGGAGGATAATCGTCACGTCTGACCGACACGAGAACCAGAGGAGAGCGAGAAAAAAGAAATAATCAAAAAGAACGAATCAAATGGCGAACCGCATGGAATACTGACTTCGTTGACCGTCCACCTCTGAATTTCAGACATGCCGATCGGTGATGGAGTGGACACCGCTATTTGGGAACTGAGAGATGTCAGGCTCATTAAACGGGTTATTCGTGTGCAAGCGTGATTCGAGTGGAATCTAGGTTGTCACCGTACTTACGATTATACTGTTCACAGAGATATATCGAAGAGGGAATATTATCAAGGAGATGGAGGATGAGAAGTGGGATATGCCAAGCCACCCCCACGAGGGCTTACTATCCCACTTTTACTACATGTTGTCACTGGTACACCGTACTCCGTGCCTCTTGGATCTGGAAGATGCTATCCTGCTTTTCTTTTTCCTTTCGAGCGAACTTGTAGGACAGCTGCAGGGATCCAAGTCCGTTCGGCAATTGAATTGAATCCCAAACTCTCCAATCCCACGCGCTATTGAATCTCCTGCAGGAATCCCGTGTCTGCAATGCGAATCATCACACCAGAGCTCTGAACTCTGAAATACCCATGAACTACGGATACTATGCGTAAACTTTCTCTTCTGCATCAATTCGTGCAGCTAGCCGCCAAGCCATACATAGAGTTCGGGGCTCGAGAACTCAATCATGATAGCAAGTACCCGTCAAAAAGTACCGTCAGATCACCTTCCAGACCGGCGCCAGGTGGCTTTTCACATGACCGACTCTGCATGCAGATGCAAGAGATTCATGCATGTGTGTGCTGGTGGGCGCTAAGACCTGGACCTGGAACCTGCACTTACTCTTGACTACCAATCCCAGAGTTCGAAGAGTAATCTGGCCCTTTTCCTGCCTGACTCGAGATTTGCGCCCAAATACCGCGTTGCAATTTCTATCCGTGCCATGCATGTCTGCGAGAATGTGCCTGCAGCCGGCTTGTATCACCTTGATTTTAGGGCGTGATGGGTCATGCAGGGATAGATGGAGAGGTGGGAATTGGGTTGTGTTGGATCCACCTTTTTCAATATGAACTGATAATCAGATCGAGGGAGAGATGGTATAGTTAACTAGTTAGTTCGCTAGTTACTAGTACGGGGTCAATAACCGAGGTGAACCTATACAAAGTAAGCATCGTTCGACCAATCAGCTTCAATGGCTCAGTACAATCCTCAAATGCACCATGCCCCATATGGTCCAGGTAAGGCTTGCATGCAGATAAGGCTTGCATCATCGCAGCTACGGGCGGAAGAAGTTGGGCATCAATTGTGCAAGTCCAGTTGTCTAACGCGAAGGTGATGGACATACATAGAGCCTGTGAGAGTTGAGGTTTCCCCTTCCTTTTTCTCCTGATTGCGCACGGGACAACCACTTGCCGTCATGTCACTGCACGGTGCAGGGCCTGATCTGCATGACGAGAAGTAACTTTACCTGGGCTGTGCACTCAGTAGTTCGATCTTGCTTTTTTTCCTTTTTCCCCTTTTTGCGGGTATCTGAGCAAAAGCGAGAAGTGGAGGCGATACATGAGATTGACGTTGTCCCGTCGAGATCTGTGGGGCTACATAGGAACAAGATCAAATAGATATACAGTGTTTGCGTTTTGCAGGGATGAGAACAAAAGGTTCGGTCATTATATACAGATCAACTTATGACAAATCAACTTATGTGCAATGGAAGAGATCCATTCCTCATTGATATAAACAGCTTACAACTTGGTGCCCATGTTCACATGCACGGCCTTGATCTGCGAGTACGCGTCCAAGCCAGCCTCGCCGAGCTCGCGACCGATACCACTCTGCTTGACACCACCGAACGGCACGCGGAAATCACTGTCGTTGCTGCTGTTGATCCAGACCATACCAGCCTCGATATCGGCGGCAACACGGTGGGCGCGCTCAATGTCCCGAGTAAAGACTGCGGCGCCGAGGCCGTATGTGGTGTCGTTAGCACGGCTGACGGCCTCTTCCTCCGTGGTGAAGCTAGCGATAGTAACGAAGGGACCGAACACCTCCTCGCGGGAGATGCGCATCGAGTCAGTGACGTTGGTGAAGATAGTAGGCTCGACGAAGAAACCACGTCCATCACCGACGTTCTTGTGCGCCACACCGCCGGAAGCGAGCGTGGCACCCTCAGCCTTGCCGGCCTCGATGTATTCAAGGACCCGGTCATACTGGGCCTTGGTGATCTGAGGGCCCTGGAAGGTGTCATCGTGGAAGGGGTCGCCGACCTTGCTGGTGGTGTGGACGGTGTGCTTGAAAAGCTCAACGAATTTGTTGTATACAGATCCGTGCACAAGGATTCGCGATGTCGCAGTGCAGACCTGACCCTGGTTGTACATGATACCAGTGTGTGCCCACTTGGCGGCCTGCTCGAGGTCCGCATCCTCAAAGACGACCAGTGGCGACTTGCCGCCAGTCTCAAGGGTAACGTTCTTCAGGGTGCCTGCGGCCATCTTCATGATCTCACGGCCGGTGATGGTGGAACCAGTGAAGGCGACCTTATCAACACCGGGGTGGGTGACCAACGCACCACCAGCAACACGACCATGGCCGTTGACAACGTTAATAACACCGGGGGGGAAACCTGCCTCCTTGATAAGACTGGCCAAGTACAAAATGCTGAGCGGGGTTTGCTCGGCGGGCTTGAGAACGATAGTGTTACCGCACGCAAGCGCGGGGCCCAACTTCCATGCTGCCATCGCTAGGGGGTAGTTCCAAGGGATGATCTGGCCAATAACGCCAATAGGCTGGCGGAGGGTGTAGGCGAATTTGGCCGGGGTAGTACCAATGGTCTGACCATACACCTTGTCGGCCCAGCCAGCATAATAGCGGAGAGTGTTGGTGACCTCACCGATATCGTCATTCAAAGAGACCTGATACGGCTTGCCTATAATAGATGTCAGTTCTTATCTTGATAGTCAATCGCTCACTTTACTCACCATTATCCCAAGTCTCGATGGTGGCCAGAGTCTCCTTGTGCTGCTCAATCAAGTCCGCCAACCTGGAAATCAAGACACCACGCTCAGTGGCGGGCAGTAGCTTCCAGGAGGGGTCCTTGAGGGCCTTGCGAGCGGCCTGGACGGCGATATCAACATCCTCCTCACCGCCAGCATACACTGACGTGATCTCAGATTCATCGCTGGAGATCTGGTCAGTACTCAAAGTTACACAACACACTTCAGAGGGGTACATACGAAGGGTTCACAGAAGCAAGCTTCTCGCCAGACTTGGAAGCCACAAACTCATTGTTGATGAAGAGACCGATGGGCTGATTGTACTTGCGCCCATTTGGGGCAGTAAGGTACACTGAGAGTTCAGACATGACGAAGGGGGAGCTGTGGAATGAGCGACGCGGGGCGATGAAGGAAGTAAGAGTTGATGGACCTTTGTACAAAAAGCGTAGGTGAATACGGGACATGGAGGGGAGAGAGGGAGAGAGGGAGAGAGGGGGTTAATAGAGGAGGGGAAACCCCCCTAGGGCTAAAAAGTTCCAAGTCGCCCGAAGAGCTCCCCGCCTGATAAGCCGATAAAGACGCTCCACCCGGATAGACTTACTCTTCCGAGTCTCCGTCCTCCGTTGGTTTGTTAGATTTGCAATAATCTCGCTCTCTGATTGGCTGGCAGCCCGCATTCGGCGAGTATTCCCCTCGTTTCTTCATGAGACCCCGGGCCAACCCCTTCTGCTTACAAAGTATGACTAGCCCGACCTCGGGAGGTCCAATCTATTCTTTTGTCACGAACGTTTAAAGTACCCCACAGCTGCAGACCTGCACATACATAGCGTCATAGCTCCGGGATGCTCAGGCCGTGTTCCATGACTCCGAACTGGGCGCCGGATGCCAAGGATATTGATCGACTGAGTGCGGATATGGTGGCGGAAAATATTGACTTTTATAGACATACCCGATACCGCCTTCTAGATCCGTCACCACGCATGCATTAACCAGGGTCCGACGGGTGTTTCCAAAGGTTTGAGACAATTCTGACCCAGCTTGTTCCGGACGACTGGATAATTTGGGGCACACATGTGTGAGGGCGATCAGTGACAAGAGCGATATGACACCATCCCGCAAGTGCCAAATCGGGCTGCTGGGATGTCGGCCATCGGGGAATGGTCAAGCTGCAAAGCAATGCGATCAGCCTGTATGGCAATGACCTTGCTGCTGTTGCGAATAGATCCAAGAGAAGCGGACTCCTCCGGTGAGTCTATCCCTTGCACATATTTATAAAGGACACATCGAGTCAAATAAAATACGCTTCAATTCGCTTGTGCAGATAACCCATGTTCAACCGACAACGCCGTCGATAGAAAATACTTGGGAGAGTTATACGAGATAAAACTCTCTGTGCATCGCTTGCATGTAGCGGCTTGCTTTCTCATGCCTATTCCTCCTTCACTCCTTCCTGATGAACTCCTCTTGTGGTTCCTCGCCTGCCAGCTCCAGTATGTATTTCCATTGTGCTGGAGTCACAGAAGACACACTAAGCCGGGATTGCTTAATCATTTGAAGATTCTCGAGCGGCATTCCGGTCTGGCCATGAGACTTCAGATCCTGGAGGGTGACTTGCTTCCCAAGTTTGCGGCGATATTCAACGTGGACGACGACCCACTTTGGGTCTTCTCGCTTGGACTTCGGGTCGTAGTATGGGTGCTTGGGATCGAAAGCGGACTCTGTCATGGGTTGTTGATCAGCAATATGATCAAGCAGTGTAATTTCGAGGGCAACAAACCATCAGTGGAATACTCCTGGACAATCTCCATCACTCCCACAACTCCAGGGACTTTGCAGTTCGAGTGGTAGAAGAAGGCAAAGTCTCCCTTCTTCATATTGCGCATGAGACTTTTGGCTATTCGACTGTGAGTATCATTCTTGTGGTCAAAGCTACCGTGACTTTAGACAGGAAAACCTACCAACATGGTTGCGCACACCTGTTCAACTGTTAGCGATCGCCTGGATGCAGAATTCGAGACAGGTTCGACGTACCATCCCAAGGCTCGGGTGCTTCTGCAGCAGCCAGGTCATCAATAGAAAACTTCACGTCCTTGCCCTTTTCTAGGCGAGATTCAGGCTCGGCCTTCATCAGCCAGAAAGAGCGGCCAGTTTCAGGAATGACATTGGCCGCAGGCGCGACCTTAGACTCGGTGATTTCGGCTTCTTCATTTGGCACAGGGTTCTTGCGGGGTCTTCCACGACCATCCTTCTTCTTGATCTTCGGTGTGATGGGTGTCGCATCGCCTGATAACACAGTCCCAGGTCAGCATATATCACCCACCACATATCGTATATATATACCTGAGTCCTTGCGGGGACGCCCACGGCCTCTCTTGGGGCCCGTTGGGGCTACAGCCTCAGGTTCTGGCTCAGAAACAATCTTCCGTGGACGACCACGGCCACGTTTAGGGGCATCAGAAATAGGCTTGGGAGCCGAGCTCTCGGGATTTTTACGTGGACGCCCACGGCCTCTCTTTTCTCCAGTCTGGGGTGTAACATCAACCTATTCCACACATGTCAGCGCTATGTCAACCGTTGGAGTGGAGAAGCCATGGGACGCGACGATCAGCCCCTGCATAATGTGCTTACCACCGAAGCCGATTCTGCAGAAGCTGGAGCTGCAGAAGTTGGAGTTGCATCTACATTATTTCGAAGCCGTTTGGAAGGCGTTGAAACAGACTCATTTGCGCTCACGGCGCGTTCAGACTTGCGTTTGGGTGGCATGACTGTTCGATTGTTTTGCACTGATTAAGTGACAGTGCAAGGCAGCGAATATACGCAGGAAGCGTAGTAAGTGCAATAAATGCAGTATAACTAAATAGAACTGTACAATCAATGGGGTAAGGATCCCGCGAACTGTTGAAAAAGCTATCAAATCCAGTTTAAGCAGGAGCTTCCTGGAATGTTTGGCACTGAGCTTGACGCGGATGTGGGTCTGGGGTCGCACGTGATGGGTCGATCATGATCGGCACTACAAACCGTTAGAAGTACACAGCTCTCCTTGTAAACAACCTCGATGGTTATCAAGGCATCGATCACTATTATCTCAGAATCCCTTCAATTGCTAGTTACCGCGACTGATCGACATTTGAGGCATTACTAGTGTACTTTAGATTTGGTCAGTACATGTTGATATTGAGAACTATTCCAAATGCTTTGAAGAAGATATATATTCTACCTACTCTAGAGTAAGCAACTCGCGCCGAATACTTATCCTCTCTGAAAGTATCTCTAATGGCAACCGGAAGTTTAAATCTATATTTATTTTATGCCGTCAATCAAACATCTAAGATCATACTGAGACAGAAGTGGATAAAGATATCAAGATTTATTGTGTAGATTCAACCTGTATATATGTAGTGTCCATTAAGCTCACTATAAGTCTATTCATATAGATGATCGTACTAGCTGAATACATATATTGTTTGGTCCGCCACCTTAAGCCAACTCTTTTCTAATGAAAACAAACTTTGGAAAAATGTACTGTATCATAGCTTCAAGGTGATGTTATAGTGTGAAGGTAATATTAGACTTGGAGGCAGCAAAAGACGAACGTATTTTCAGATGATGTATGTTATAATATGTGCCTCGATTAGCCCCACTACATATGTATGTGGGTCAAATACTTATTGAATCAGAATTGTCTAGAATGTCGGATTAAAATCGGCGTGGAGAAGATATACAGATTTGCATGTGTTAGGCCTCCCTTGTCCTGACGTACAAGGTATATTTTACTTCATAGTGAGTTTTCGATGACAGGGTACCATTCATCATGTAAAGGTGATATTGCGCCATCACTTCGGGTTTCTATTGGTCCTGACCAAAATCATGTCGGCCGAATAAGCTTGAAAGAGGGTACATAACTAGCTATCAAGGTTCCTAAAATGTAGTTTAGGGCCTACACAATCAATAGTACAGACTTCCAAGGTTGTTGTTTTTCATGTAGAAACATTAGATAGGAATTGTTCCATGCTAGGTAGCCTGCACATATTGATTCATTCCTATTCCTTGATTGCTTGAAATAAGATCGAGTTGGTTACAACGCAGCCAGAAAACTGGCAGGTTCAGCTATATCGAGCTTCTCTGGTTATGACAATGGCCAATGTAGATATGTACCTAATAAGAGCCACCCATAGGATGATTATAGGAAAGTCAAAATTGCCATTTTCCATTTAGGCGCCAATGGCTAGAAGGAAAGGGTATAGCAAGACAATAACGTGGTAGTAGTGATATATTGGCAGGCCCCCTACCTGCAAAGTAGAGCTACTCCGTGCATGTAGTGTGTTGTATGTATATTGTAGGTAATGTAGTTCTAACATAAGGTTAGGTAAGGTTGAGGGGTAAAAAGAAACCCAAGGAACCCGAAATGCTCATCCACAGTTGATATTGCATCACGCACGCTAAACAGCCCACGCTGTGTGCTGCCGTGCATGCGCCAATCATGGCCGTTCTGCCGGGCGGAACAATGATCACGCCATCCAGAACGAAGCCGCGGTGGGACAGGAACCAGCCAGATGAGGTTAAGGTGGGGTCAATCCATGTATCTATGGGAAACCCGGAGGGGATGTTATTAACCTCGTATCTCGCCAACTCGATCTTACTTTCCTCTCTCCCTTTCATCTACAACTCAATTTGACCGATCTATCTATTCACAATGGCTGAAGCTCCTATGTAAGCTCCTACCTCTATATTCAAGATGCATACAATACTGATCGTCTGTTAGCCTCCGTCTGGGCTCTACTGCCCCCAACTTCAAGGCTCTCACCACCCAGGGCGAGATCGACTTCCACGAGTTCATTGGTGACAAGTGGACTATTCTCTTCTCTCACCCTGCGGATTTCACACCAGTGTCAGTAGTTCCCAGCCCTCTTGACCTCTGTGAAGCATGTACTGACAATCAATAGCTGCACCACTGAGCTCGGCGCCTTCTCCAAGCTCGAGCCCGAGTTCACCCAGCGTGGTGTCAAGTTGATTGGATTGGTGAGGCTCCAAGGTTGACAACCCTTAAGCATTAGCTAACGCAGCTGTCTCTAGAGTGCCAACGCGCTTGATTCCCACGAGGAGTGGATCAAGGACATCAACGAAGTCGCCTCGACTCAACTCAAATTCCCTATCATCGCCGATGCCGACCGCAAAATCGCCTTCCTCTACCAGATGATTGACGAGCAGGACTTGACCAACGTCGACAGCAAGGGAATTGCCTTCACCATCCGCTCCGTGTTCATCATCGACCCCGCCAAGAAGATCCGCCTGATCATGGCCTACCCCGCCTCCACTGGCCGTAACACAGCAGAGGTTCTCCGGGTTGTCGACTCTCTCCAGACCGCTGATAAGAGAGGTGTCACCACCCCGATCAACTGGCTGGTATGATCCCCGTCCCCCAGGTCCTGGAACTATTGCGAAGTATCTTACTAACTCGATCAAAGGCTGGCGATGACGTTATTGTGCCACCTACAGTTAGCACCGAGGATGCCAAGAAGAAGTTCGGCGAGATCCGTGAAGTGAAGCCGTGAGTTTCCTTGTCCAACTCCCAGTCCGAAAAGAGGATACTAATACCTTATAGTTACCTTCGCTTCACTACTCTCAAGGAGTAAACGAAGTCTTATGATATGATGCTAGAAATATGAGGCGGGTTCATCTTGGGACATAGTTTCCCAATATTAATGAAACCTACTTACGCCGTCCTTTTGAATTATGCGCTTTTGTAAGAATTTGCTGAGAGATTACGTGGCATTTCCCTGCCCTCAGATTTTTAAGTCGTAGGTTCTCAGATAGTTTCTCTTTCAATGTATTGCAATATTTCCAGACTGTCTATCCTAGTAGTCCTAGATCTATCTTTCACTTCTTTGGATAGTACTATATCATGGAGCGTAGTATATGGCAGTGCTCAGTGACACGTTTGGGCATTTTGTAAATATTTGCTTGAAGCAATTTGTAAGTCAAAGGCTTAATTGGATCAAATTAATTGAGATTCAGTCGCATCCAACGGATTATTAGATATTGAAGAGGGGCCCTGCAAGGGAGGCGGCAGGTGTACCGACAGTCCTGCCTGCGAAGCAGGGTGAGAGCAAAGTCGGCTCTGGGAGTAGTAGGGTGCTAGAGAGGAGCACACGATGGGATGACTACTAGAAGAGAAGGTAGAAGGTGTCATCCCCACTACAATAACAATGATTGTTGTTGTAAATTCTAAACATCCCATCTTCTCCAAGCGCCCGGACAAGCCGAACAGTTGATGAAAAGGAGTTCGCGTCGATCAGGGGTAGTGTAAGCCCAATGACACAGTGCAACGAGGCATATGCAAGCATAGAGGCCAAGTCGCGAGGTCCAAATATTAGAATAATCATGACGTTCTGCAATGCAGAACATTCAGCGATTAAACTGAATAGAACAGATACTACACTTGATCTAAGCCAGAGGCAAAGAGAGCTGAAGAAGAAAGAAAAGAAGAAGAAGTTCTGGGGGCAGGGCCACCTTCTTATAGGTATCCTAAGGGCGGTCGGTTTATGCCACTATTCACAAATGAGACAAACAACGACATATGCTCGCTTAATTGAATATGTAAATGGTATTTAAGGCTGGGCATGTGATATTTGGTACTCCGTAGAGTACATGGACTTTCCACTAGCAGTCACAGAGTAAGACAAGGAGCGAATGAAGTGACTGGGTGAAGAGTTCACAGGCTTGAACAGCATGCAATGCCTGGTTTATAGTTTCGATATTCTCCAGGGACATTTCTTAGTGGTTGCTATAAATATGATCATCCTTGTCATTCCTCAATCACAGATATTAACGTTTATCAAGCCACCTGCCGCCCAGTTCGAAACAAACTGGTTGATATCATCATACCTGGAATAGTGTCGGATGACCTGACAAGCATCACCCAAGTCTTCATCTGTGTTTTCATCTATGTCTTCTAGATCGATCAAATCAATTCGAGGCCCGAAGCCTTGGGCGAGAATAGATTCGTCCCTCGATTCCTCATGTTCGCCAGAGGTTTACTTCCATCGGGCTTTATTGTTGATATTGATGTTTCTGAGTGCCTCGGAGCACTATAACCCACTATAACTAGTACTCAACTGTTTCTCAATATTCCATCAAATCTGGTTGAATTGCGAGGGCAATGGATAGACTTATGAGAAAGGGGAGAGGGTAAACTTGGAAGGACAAAGCCAATATACAAAGAGGCGCACATCAGCGCTTTTACACAACATGGCGTGAATGTAGTAGTAGTTAGTACATCTTCTTCGTCCAGCCTTTTCCTCCGAGCAGGTGCAGCTTCCTTTTTGGTGTTCAAGTCTGAATTCGCAAGTTCGTCACCTCTTGTTCCCCTTCACCTCTGTTCTCTCTTCGTATGCCCGGAGTCAGGAGGATAAAAGGTATCAAGATCATGATAAACGGTGTAGAAAGGGACCTATGGGAAAGTATCACAAAGCATAAAGTAATTAAAATTCATTCAGACAAAATATTTATTCCCTAGTAAATGCATGAATTAAGAGCATTCCTTGGGGGGATTGCTATAGTTATGGGTAGTTATGGGGAGACACAAAAGCGGTAAACATTTTTTGTGCCGATCTCCAACCTCGACGGCTGACACTTCGGCCAGGACTGTGCGCTCATCTAAGATACGATCGGCGTTAGTCTGTCTGCCTAGTTTTTATTCATCAATTTCCTCGTTCTGAAGCCAGCCTGGAGCCAAAGTTGCGGCGTCGCGGGGAACCACCCCCTTTTTCGACTCCCCACAACGACCATTTCGAGCCGTACCACACCTACAATCAGCGCCGGGAACATTGTCCCAGAAAGACGCATTCGAGAGAAAAACGCCTCATCGCATGCGAGCGATATTGGGAGAACTGAAACAGGGGGTCAACGGCTACCCACACGATTGTCTCCGTTGAAAAGCGGACAGGAAACCCGCCCACCATGATGTCGCGAAGTCAGTCGAGTTTGGGGTACATGGGGGATACAGGACGAGAGGATTCTGCGCCGGGGGCCTCTCCGTCCCTGAACCAGCATCCTTCTTCTGGTCCTATCAACCTCTCTGGTCTGGTGTGCAACGTGCGGCGAACGACCGGCAAGGAACCCCGTCCGCTCGTCGGTGCCACTACGACCATACTGGGGGATAAGCTATACGTCTTCGGAGGCCGGATCCTCTCACGCAGCCGTCCCCAACTCACCTCCAACCTTTATGAGTTGGACTTGATTCGACGACATTGGACGAAAGTTGAGCCCGCTGGAGATGTTCCACCGCCGCGATACTTCCACAGTGTGTGTGCTTTGGGGGACAACAAGTTGGTTTGTTATGGAGGCATGTCACCTGCGCCTACGCCAAAAGACCCTGAGAACCCGGCGGAATCGCAATCGCAGTCACAATCGGAAGTCGTGGTTATGTCAGATATTCACATCTTTGATGTACCAACGCGGGCATGGACTCGTGTTGCTGCCCATGAATCTCCTCAGGGGCGCTACGCACACTGTGCCACGATACTGCCATCGAGCGCTTGCTTCACATCTGCCAGTGCACCTCTATCCGCCATTCACAATAACCCCGAATCCTCCTCTCATCAAGGTACACTTGGTGTGGATATTGACGGCTTTGGGGGTGCAGAGATGGTGGTGGTCGGAGGACAGGACAGTTCCAATCACTACATCGAACAAATCAGTGTTTTCAACCTACGCAGTCTCAAGTGGACCAACACTAGCCCCTTGGGAAGGAGCTGCGGCGCTTATCGCAGTGTCGTAGCTCCACTAGTGGGAATGAATGTGTCCGAAATTGGATCCTCAGCTCCAGACCGAGATCAACACGAGCCGATTCAGGATGACACTGAATCTCCAGGTTGCCCTATGCTGATATACTCCAACTACAATTTCCTTGATGTCAAGCTGGAGTTACAGGTGCGCCTGCCGGACGGACGCCTTGTCGAACGACCGATGCAGAGCCAAGCGTCCCCGCCGGGACTGCGTTTCCCAAACGGTGGTATTATCAACGGCCACTTCGTTGTCAGTGGAACATACCTGACTTCATCGAAGCAAGAATATGCGCTGTGGGCTCTCGACCTGAAGACATTGACTTGGGGTCGTATTGATGCTGGAGGATCGGTGTTTGGGCAGGGTAGTTGGAATCGGGGAGTGCTTTGGCCTCGCCGTAATTCCTTTGTGATTCTTGGACACCGGAAGCGAAGCCTTGTCGATGATTACAACCACCGACGAATCAACTTCTCGCACGTCTGTCTGGTCGAACTAGAGGCGTTTGGCCTCTACAACAATGCTTGCCGCACTTCTCCAACCTCGGGATATAAGTCTTACAGCTCCTCTTCTGTTCCGGCATCCTTGCAAAAGAAGCTAGTGCAGTTGACATCGGGTGGGCGGCCATTGTCTGCGGCATCCGATGAGCTAGGCAAGCTCGCGCAATCTTTGCCAGAGATGGCCGACATGGAATTGCAGGCTATAGGGGGAGAATGTATCTCCGTCAACTCTCGCATATTGACTAGGCGCTGGGGTCCGTACTTTATCCAACTTCTTCGCGAATCGTCGGACGGAGGTATTGCAGACATCGCATCTCTTCGTCCGTCCCTGACACACCCGAGCCGCAACTCGAGCATCACCATCACCCCTTCGATAGGCTCCGATGCAACAACTCTTGTCAATCAGTCTATACCTTCGAAGTCTTTACTTGAGAACCTTGAAGTTCCATCTGCTCACAGCCTCGCCCCGACCTCCCGACCGCGTGTGCTGTATCTCCCCCATACCATTTTGACTCTTCAAGTTCTGGTTCAATACCTCTACACCTCAGCTCTCCCAGCCGTAGGCACCTCGCTTTGCACACCACAAATTCTCTGCTCGCTTCTACAGCTTGCCCGTCCGTACCAAATTGACGGACTCTTAGAGGCCACCGTCGAAAGACTCCATCAGATTCTTGATGGGCGCAACGCCGCGGCTGTATTCAACGCAGCTGCCATGGCCGCCGGCGGTGGTCGGGGTACTGGATTCAATGGTGGACCAGGAGGTACACTCGAGGCTCTAAATGGAGCCTACACCGGCCACAACGGCACTGCGCCAACATTGGGCGAACACAGCAACTCCCAACACGGTGCACTCACATCAGGCTCGTCCGACACAGAGCATGGCGGTGCCTCCGCATCAGTAGCGAGCAGCATAGGCGCTCTCAGCAGCTTTGCTCGAGGTATTCCATCTCTCCGCATTGACACCAGTGTCTCCCTGCATTCGCGCCAACGCAGATCCCGCCGCGACCGCGAGGATTCTATTAGCAATCCAAGCACGGCGACATCCGCGTCTAGCGCTAGTTTCAGCCAGTCCGACTCCGAATGGGTTAGTGGCGATGAAAGCCGGTCGCAGTCCCGCTCTACTCGTCACCACAGTGACGCAGACGCCGAGCTGCGCCGCCCCCAACGTGAGCTCTGGACCGGTGATCTAAGCAGTGTTATCGGCCTCCAGAAGCGCGGCTTGCGTGGTCTCATGGAGGGCCGTCGCATGCGTGAGCGTACTTCGAAGCCCGCCAGCGCTAGCGGTAACTCGATATCTATGCCGCCGTCGGCTGGCTCGGGGGATCAACAGATTCCTTTCCAAGGCGTTGCCAGTTGATGGTTCCTAGAGCTCAGGGCTGTGACATCTATACGATCTCTTTCCCCCACCTTATCCTTCTGTTACTTCGTTTCTTAGATGATCTCTTCCATCTCTTCCAGATACCTTATTTGGATTATATATACTTCTCTTCTTCTTGCTTTTCACCCCAGCAGGCTGGCAATGTGGGGAGGATTTAGGGCAAAATTTCCAAAGTTGGGAATTATGCATTTGGATGTTGTACCTTTCTTCTGTTTATGTTATTTCGGCTGGGTAGGTTGTTCTCGCCTATCCATAGCCATGGATATATTTTGAGACTCCGGGCGTTGGATTTTACAATGAATGCATTAAACCGGATTTGTTTCCCCCTTAAGAGACTGCTTTAGATAGAGACGAGAGAAGACAGATTGTTTTAGGGCTTCTTATGTACAGTTGTAAAGCCTCTCAAATGCCATTCTAGTTTGAATCGTACAGAATTCCTGCTCCCAGAAGAATTTAAAACAAAAAGAAGATTAATCCTTCTGTTTCTGATCTTCACGACTCTTAGGACTCTTGCCAAGATAGACTAAAGGAAATAAGTTAGTGTATATACAATCAAAAAGAATGTTAAGGTTTACTGGGTATCAAAGAACTCACGTCGCTCATAAAGAATCCATGATGTATATATTACAATTGGTAGTCCGACAATAGTCGTTGTCCATCTAGAAAGGCGATTAGATTTCTCATTGTCGCCATGTATCATTTGCCAACCAAGCAAACAAAAACACGGAAGCAGAGTCGAAGACAGAAGATGATGGCACTTACCTCCGTGCAGCAGTCTTGTACTCCTTTGTCTTCCGGATATCATCCACCCCCTTAGGGAGCCGCGAAGCAGCGGGTTGTTGAATTGGACGTGGAGGCCGGGTTTTGGGATCCATGGATCGGTATCTTTGCTGGTCTTTGAGGGATGACATTATTCTTGGCTTTTGTTAGACGAATCTGATCATAGGAGAAATTGCTGGGACGTGCTTACGTGGTTTGCTTGGTGTATTGGAGGATGTGAATTCTGTGAGGGAATTTCGGGGAGGTGTTCGCGCCTGAGGCATTACTTTAACTTACTGCTTGTCTACAAGGAAGACGAAGTTGACTGTACTTCAACCACCGATTATTATAAACTACATGTTAATTCAGACTAAAGCCTATTCTGAAAGTCCTAAGAGAATAACGCGATGACTTCTTGATCTTGGGTTTCTGTCGATTGATAGATACGATAATTACAAGCTTCACATCGCCCTTCGAGTTTGTAAGCCACCATCACCATTCTGCATCTGCCTTCAACTTTCGATATGTCTCAGAGACTCCAACTTCGACCCCAACGGTCGGCCATTTTGCATTGCGACCTGGAACAGGTTGCGTAAGGACCCACCACTCGTCGGCCTGCTTTGAAGAAGACACACATCGGACGCGTTTGGACCCTACCGGATGGATCGACTGCGCTAGGCTCATATCGCGTACCACATTTTGTACTTCAAAAAGCAGGCCGCGTGAAGCGGTCTCATAGGCTCCAGTCAAGATGGGGTCCTGTAGTAGGGTGATTTAGCGGCGGAGGCAGCAATGGATGTCGGTTTTGCGCCCTCTGATCAAAGCCTTCTGCCATGGCTGATGTCATATCCGCGTACTGTTGCAGCGAGACATGTCGACGTAAAGCGTCTACACTCGCCGTGTGTTTGGAGTGGAGTTCGGAGGGTACTCGATCCGTTCCTCGTTTGTTTTATAATCATAGATCGAGTATCGTGATTGAACATGTGTCGAGTAGAGCTCAAAGAAAACTCTTCCGCAATAGCTGGTGGGGCATTTGTGAAACGCAGATATTTGATCACCCTGAAGGGAATCTCCTGCTCTTTTCTGATCCTCCGGATAGCGTTGGCCTCTGACCCGATGGCTTCATGTGTCATCGGGTAGTGCCCGGAAGCACTCGATGTCGGCGGAGTCTGAATCTGAGTCATCGGACATAGTGGTCAACATGAGCTTTTCGAAATGGTATCGACGACATTTCTGGCATCCGAAACTATATAGTCTAAGTACGTTTTGGATAACTAAGGTGTGGTGTAATGAGTCATCCTTACCATATCCCGGGGTCGATCGATGAAAGTTGGAGGTAACTAGAGAGCGAGAAAAGCGAAAGAAGAGATGAGGGAGGTGCCTAGGTGACATCTCCTGCCTTGTGTGCGAATGAACGCACAAAGTAAATCAGATGTAAGGCAAAAGTAAGCAGAAAGTCGACCCGTGTGACATGTCAGATTCTACCTTTTACGAGGACCACGAGGGCAAAAAGAGTACGAAATGAAGCAATACTAATGGCAAGGACAAAGACAACTAAAAAATCTCATAATTCACCATTAACTCCATGGTATGCCCCGCGATGCTAATCATACATGCTTGAAAACGCCCGCTGGTAATCAATCATACAAAAAGGTCGAAAGTGAAAAAACAAGAAAACGAAGAGTGATAATCATCGCCCGACATCAGCCGGGCAGAATGCCTCATCATTTTGCCCTCACCGGGGCCTCACATGCCCCGGCGGCGGCGGCGCTTGTTGGTCGGTGCGGAGGACGGCGCACGCGAATGCGAGAGGACGGGGGAGGAAAGGGACTGCGTGACGGGGCCTTTCTTGGAAGCAGATGCTCGAACCCCAGAGGCCTCAGTCTTGGGCGCCGGCTTCAAAGTCAATCGGAGCCGCTGCACCTTAGGTTTATCGCCTTCAATGGCAGCGGGGGCGACGGCGGCAGCCGGGCCCGAAGACTGGACCTCGGTCGCAGTGTTAAGGGAAGAGGTGGGAGACAGGAGAGTGGGGGCAGGAGCGGTCTGGCGGCGGCGCCGCTGTGACTTGCGTGCGCCGGTCTCGGGGGTAGTAGCAGCAGGAACCGCTGCGGCAGGCTCATCGGCGGCCGCGGTTTGACGGCGCTTTCGGGTACGAGGCTTCTTAGTCGCAAGGGTTGGCACAGGGGCCCGAGCCAGAGCCCTAGCCTTTTCCTCCTCCACATTTTCAGTGACGAATGGGGCCACCGCATCAGATGGGAGGTTACGGTCTCCTAGGAGCGGTGCGAAGCTGTGAGTGGCATCGGCATCGGCCTGCTGGCTGGTTCTGGCGCGCACTGGTGGAAAAGGGAGACCCTCGTAGCCGTAAGTATGGGACGGGTAATATGGATGGCAATTTTCGGGGAGCAAAGCAACCTCTTCACCACTGGAATTAACGTAGCCAGTTTGAATCCAGCCATCGCTACCGACCTTGGTGTCAGACTGCTTCTTGTAGCTCAGGATGCTTGAGCCGTCGATGACTGCGGTGGGAGGAGTGGGAGGAGTAGGAGGAGTGGGGGGATTGGGTGGGGTGGGAGAAGAAGAAGCGATCACAGGCGCTGGGAGGTCTTGGTCGATCATATCTACATCGACATCGACATCACTCGGCGTGGCTTTGGCGGGCATGTCGACGCCATATTTTTCTTCATCTTGGCGACGGAAATATTCACTTCGCTGTTGCTCCAAGAATACAGGGATATTCAAAGGGGGAGTAAAGTCAGGGCTGAAGGACTGAATAGTCAAGTCATATAGTCTCTGGCCAGCCGCCTTCACGTTAACATCGAAACCGATCAAGACAGCATTTTTTCGCATGTTCAAGTTGGTCATTCTCTTTGACCTTCTTGTTCTTCTCATTGGCTGCTTCGAAACATTGTTCTTCGCAACCTTTGCAACCTTGGTAGCCGCAGGGGCAGGAGTTTCGACGGTCGGGGCGGACACTGTCATGTTCTTGCGGCGAGGCTTCTTCTTAGTTGATTCAAAAGATTCAATAGCCCTGATGGTGGGCTTGCGAACCCGGGATGAGTTCTGCATGTCGGAGGCACTGGTAGGGCTGGAGGGACCATCGGCTGTTCCTTCGGATTCAAAGCTGCCCATGTACTGGTCAAATGTCCAGCTGGCGCTACCATTACTCTCTGGAAAGTCAATATCTGATACTTCTTTCTGGGGTGTTTCAAGTGCAGCTGTTCTTCTTGTCCGTCGACTACTTGAGCTGGTGGCCGGGGCTTCTAGGGCTGGAGTATAAACAGTTGAGAGCCGTGACGGACGAGACTGGAACGCCCGCCGACGCGAGGATGGTGTTTCGGGACTCGTTCCACGTGAACTTGAATTTGTAACAGGTGAATTCGGAGTGTAGAAAAGAATGTTGCTAGAACTGTCTTTGGGACTGGCGGATGTGTTCAACGTTTTGGCGGGTTGTATGCTCTCATTTGTACTTTTTGACGGGCGAGGTACGCGGGGAGAGCGCCGGGAAGGTGACAATGTAGGCGCCTTATTGATGCGCGCAGGCATTGACTTACGCTGGCCCTTCTTTGGAGGCATCGTGAATTAAAGCTAAATGGCCCGCAATTTGTCAGTATAATCTATCCATGCGAATAGAACGGGCAGTAAATAGAGTGAATGAACAGTATAAGTGGAAGCCTAGCCCATACCTCCAATACCAGGCAACTAGGGCGTGGATAACATTATAGGGGGGTCATCAGGTGAAGGGCAGGGTCGACGTCAGAAGACCGCAGTGCACGGAAAGGGAGAAGTTGGGAATTAGGGCCCGACATATAGGCGCAGAACTCACGAAATCAGAGGTACCACCATCCGCAGTTGTTTTCTAGGGTGTTCATAAACAAGCTTGTAAGGACTAGGCGGACGTTGGAATTGTATTTGTGCGAGATAAGGCGAAATAAAGTGATGGAAGATGCTGAGGTCGACAGAAAAGAAATTAGGGCTATGGTTGATCGGCGCTTATCGGCTTCACTTGTCCGCCTTATTCTGCAACTCCTCTATCCTCCACCATCTCCCCGAGCTCTCTACAGCTGTTTTCTGTTAGTTTCTGTTTAATTTTCTGTTATTTCTTTCACAATGCATCTGTGGCAGGCCACCGTCCCATTTTGCCTATTGGCTGCAGCTGCACTACCTGGCGCTGCCGCCGCAGCTTGGGGCTTTACTGATGCCACCGTGGCCGTTCAATCAAAAGGTGCTGGTGTCAATGGAGGTTTTAAGGAAAAGTATGTATTCTGACTCAAGTAGAGGGTACATGAAACTAATCAATGTGTTCAAACTAGACTTACTGCATCCAAGCCGCTCTCCAAGCCCGTCTCCCTTCTCGGTGCCGATACCTTACGCGTCACCTTGACAGCCCAGGAAGACAGCTCTCCAAAGCGAGCAGACCAGGCTTTCCTTTTGCTCAAAGATGCTCAGACTGGATTGGATATCTCATACCCTTTCAACATCAAGGATAATGGCAAGTCAAGAGTCGAATTGGTATGCAATCCCCAAAAGACTTTCCGCGGCGCAGCTAACACATGCCCTCCAGACCCAGAAAGACCTGCCAATTCAATTCCTCTCTCTGTCCGGCCCAGTTGATGCGCATGTTGTCATTGGCGGGTTTGGAAGCTCCGATGCCTACGACAGCTCTGTGTTCAAGTTGTCGATCGATCGTAACCCCGGAGAGGCCGTGCCGACCGTTGAAACCGAGCGATATGGCAAGAAGCCCGAGATCCACCATATCTTCAAGGACTCTGCGTCTAGCCCGCCAATTGTCATAACCTTGGCATTTGTCGCCATGGTCGGCGCTGCTTTCCCCGCTCTTGCTGGCTTGGTAAGTCCATCTCATTTCTGCGCCAAGACCGTTGCTTATAGATTGTCTCTAGTGGCTCTTCCTCGGCGCCAACGTCAACCACCTACCCTCCGCATTCAAGTCTGCCCCTCTCTCGCATGCCGTCTTCCTCGGATCATTGATCTCATTTGAGGGGATCTTCTTCCTCTACTATACCTCGTGGAACTTGTTCAAGGTCCTTCCCGCGATGGCTGTTGTTGGTGTGATCGCATTTGTTAGTGGCAGCCGCGCGCTAGGTGAAGTGCAGGGCCGGCGCCTTGCTGGTCTCCGGTAGATTTCCGGAACATACATGAATTTATCTACCGTGGTCCTGTTTGTCCTCTCACGGTGCTGCCAAACTGCCGTGTGGTCCTAGGTTCCGGTGGTATTGTATCCTAGCTGCAGTGATACCTAGTATGTTTTCGCAAAACACATAACAGGGCTTCCACTGGAATTTCACGAAAGTCTCGCCGATCTTCAAATGTGATCATCTCCCAATTGTCTGTAATACGGGTTGGGTTGGACTCTCCAGATAAGTAGCTGCGCTAACATGTGCTGCCCGCCAACGCCCTTCAACATTTGGTTTGGCATTTCTAGACATATCGGACGAGTATGTGTTGCTCTACCTAGGCGATCTCGCTAGATACATATCTCATACTCCCAAGGAAGCTGTTTGTTAACTGTATTTTTGACGTCACAAGTCAGGACAGATAGACCGCTTTCTTTACCGCCTGCCTAGGACGGTATAGTTATATAGTTATGCAATCCTGCCTCAGAGATCAGGCCATTGATCTCAACAGGAGCTTGTTCAATATCCTTGAGAATGTCTACCGTCTTTAGTTCTGCTTGACATGTTCCTAAATACCAACTTGTATGACTTACATACTCGGGTTTGTGAGAAGTCTTGCTTGACTGTTCTGCTGGCAAAATACCGACCCGAAGTCCAGGCCGTAATGCCAAGGCGACATCGGGAACCTCCACTCAAAGCTCCGCAAAAAGCTGCAACGCCTTACACCAACATTTTCGATCCACAGCCCATCATTCTCAATGGGTTCTGCTGCTTCAAAGCCCGCCAAATCAGCGGCTGGCGCAGCCTCACGGCGCCAATACCCCAAGCAGCCGGCTCCCCCGCCAAGAGGACCGCGCAAAGCTCCAAAAGAAACCAAAGCAGCGTCTGCACCTACGCCTACTTCCGCGCCCAAACCCAACGCTGGTCCCTCGCCTCCTCAAACACCTGCACCTTCCTCCCAGGGCCCAAAATACCACTCAAAGGAGAAAGCATCCGACGTGAAGTCTGATGGTACGTACACTCGCCAGCGATTTATTCAAGTCTTCTACATGTGAATGCAAGACCAGCAAGGAAACAAACTAACGACCATTTAGCCATCGACATGGACGGCCGAGACCCCCATTTCGCCGCCTCCCTCCGGTCAATAGGCCCCGTCGATCCATCACCTACATACTCAAACTCAAGCACTTTCAATCGAGGCTCAATGCAAACTGTCTTCCCACAAGCTTCTAACCCGGCACTACTGGTCGTCACTGCTCGACAACGCCTCACAGAGGCCGCGGATAAAGAAGCTGAGCACTTCGGTCATGCGGGTCATCCGGGGAGATCGTTCCTGGATGCCGTGACTATCCAACAGGTGTTGACGATGCGGGATAAGCAGGGTAAGCGCCGTGGAGATATTGAACGGTTCCTCGGGTTGAAGAAGGGGGTCTTGGATCGGTTAGGGAAGGATGGGGTTGTCTCGCGTATCACATGATATTTGTCCCCTACCCAGGCGAGCTCTTTGTTTTAGCGATTTTGGCTCCAAAATATCGATCGGTGTCTTTGGTGCATTGGGATCATTTGTTGGCGTCATTCTTCCTGCATACTCTGTATATCACTCATCCCTACTCATGATAATATCAAATTCTTTAGTTAAACCCGTTATGAAAATCTTCTCTAGGGGTTTCAGTTTTCGGCTCAAAAGACGCAAAGCTCGATAATTTAAAAATGGTTGATGAACCCTCAGGATTAATGAGAAAGGGGGTTTCCACGATTGTCAGGATGATCCTCAGAGTGTTTGAGCACGATTATAATTGACTTCAAATCAATCAGCTGCCGAAACCGCTACATTGGACGCCAGTTTAAGCGAAGAATGGAATGCCAGGGTAGCCATTGATTGAAATTCGAACTTGACCACAGGTCCAAGGTACGGTAAGGTCAGGCCGTAACCTTTTACCATTGGCCAGGTCAGCATTCTTAAGGTGTGAGGCTCTTCAACTTCGACGGGAAGGTGATCCCTCGGGGAAGGTATCTCAGGCACTGCTGTTAGTCCGTTTGGGGAATAGAGTTGGCCATCAGCCGCTGTTGCCAATCGAAACCGCGCGAATCTTCGCAATGATACATCGGGGATATTTTAAAAGAATGTGACTTCCAGCCAGCGTCCGCCACCAGGCGGTGCATACTAACAAGCTCGGACAAGTTCAAACTGGCTGACATATCGCAGGACGGCTGTATAAAATCGTGAGAATACGCAGCTCTCAGGCCCAGAATGCGGGGTGGCTTTGGCTCTAGATAGAGCTCTTGGCACTACCGATCTTGACACTTTGTTACTATGACGAGCAGTTGGTCTCCAGTTTTCGACAACCCCGAGTCACCAAGCTGACAAAACACAGAAAACTAACTAACTAGAACCTTAAAGTTGTAGCTTTATCATAGAAAAGTGGACCTCGGGTCGATAATTCGGCGCCGACTACCAATCATACAACAGAGAGACAAGATGACAGCCCTAGATTGAGTGGGATGCGATCTAAATCGCGCCCTATGCTATGATAGATAGTGATAAACCCCCTCATACTTATACGAGTGTTCCTTTCTCTTTTATACTTACTTCAAATCGATTGAATACACTTCCCTCTCAGTCCTCTCCAAGTCATAGCTACAATGTATCTTCGCGCCGTCCACGCCGAGGGACAACTCGCCGTCCTCCAGCAATTCATCCGTGATAACCCACTCGGCATCATAACAACGGCCATCAAATCCCCGATCTACTCATTCATCCAATCAAGCCATGTCCCCTTCGTCCTCGATGTACCTCCCTCGACCGAGGGCGATGACACAGCCCCGACCGGCATCCTGCGCGGCCACATGGCCAAACAGAACCCACAAGCAAAAGCCTTGATGGAAGCCCTCGCTGAGCAAAACGCAGCAGGGAATAACAAATTCGAGCTCACGGATGAGGTGCTGATCCTATTCAACGGCCCCCACCACCACTACGTGACGCCCAAGTTCTACACAGCAACCAAGCCAGTCTCTGGCAAGGTCGTCCCGACGTGGAACTACTCCGCCGTGCAGGCGTATGGCAAGATTAGTGTGTACTGCAATTCCAAGGCAGAAGAAACGGGTGCGTTTTTGCAAAAACAGATTCAGGACCTGTCGCGGCAGTCTGAAGAGGGCATTATGGGGTATACTGGGGGTGATAAGAAGAGCGCATGGAATGTATCCGATGCGCCGGTTAATTATGTGGAGCTTTTGAAGAAGAATATTCTTGGCATTGAGATTCGTGTTGAGCGATTGCAGGGGAAGTTTAAGATGAGTCAGGAGATGGGCGAAGGGGATCGGGAGGGGGTTGTGCAAGGGTTTGAAGAGTTGGGGTCGGACGTTGGGAGGGGTATTGCTGATTGTGTTAGGGAGCGTGCTGCCATGAAGGATCAGCAGAAAGTGGTGTAATTGACTTAGGAAGATATTATGTACTGTGGTTGCCGTTGCACGTGATGATCATGAAGAATGAGAAATATGCATAAATGATATAAAACCACGGAAATGTGTTCAGTTCAAATCTCAGCTTTCAAGAGTATGTACTTTGTAGACTAGCACGGTTTTGGTTCTGTACAGTAGGTAAATATGTTTCACATTTAGCTTTTAAATGTCTCTACGGAGTACTCCACCAGGTCTTACTGGCTTTGCGTTATATTTACTTTGTAAGATCGTGGGACCAGGTGTCGACACTAGAGTTAATACGATGTATGGAGTATGTATGTTGTACTTGGCTTCAGCAAGCCGAATGAGAAGATCACACATGTCAAGATCAACATCCGAGTCGTCATATTAAATATACAGGTCGTCCGCTGTAAGGCCGACCGCCAAGCATATTTAGACAAAGGTCCGTGCACAGTCTCCGACCATACCCCTGGATCATGGCCAAATACGTGCACATCTCCGTACATATAAATACACATCAATGTACAGGGTAGATGTATTCCGAGACAAAGTTCGATTGTTCTATCCGCGGACTATCCACAATTGAATCTCAGAGACACGGGATGATCATTAATAATAATAATCTAAAAGGGGGCAATGTACATACAGTAGGTGGGGGGAAACCGGAAATCGGCGCAAATCTTGAGTTTTTCCCCGGATTTTATGCACAAGTGCCCAGGCAGACAGCCTTGAATGTTCCCCCTTTTCGCAGAACCTTGGGAAGTAACGTCCGAACCTTGGAACCTGCCAAGATTGGCATGACCTCGGGCTGTGGTGGTCCATGGTTCGATGAAATTGGTATCTTACTGTACTGTACTGTATCATTTATTTTCGGTCTCACGAAAGCGAATCATTTAGGAATAGTGCGATGCAGGGTCCACCTAGTGGCTGCATAAACTTGGACAGACTGGGACATAATAATCTGTACAGCCTCTCCGGTCTCCACTTGGGCAACTTAGGGACAATATGAGAGGTTGACCGGATGGGAAGAGTGGTTTCGGCGACGTAATGAAAAAAAAAACACAGAATAAAAATAAAAAGAAGCGAAACCAAGCATTTGGAGTAAATTTGGAGCCGCTTAGTCTAGTCGCGTGCACAATTTCCCATCGCCTAATTGGCCTTATTCTGTTATTTCGTGATATCTAAGAATAACCCTTGGACCCTTTCCCTTCCCTTTCCTCCCGGGACCACTCCTCTGTTCTCTCTTTCTTGCTGCCTAGTCTCTCGTTTGCCGTTTCGACATTCTTCGACTCTTCTTCTCCCCCTACGTTGCCAACTGCGCGATTCCACTGTACAAATGAAATGATTCCAACATGTCCATCTTCGCCCTCTTACCACCGTTGTCGCCCTTCCTTTTCTCCACACTCGTTGTGAGCGGTCTCGCCTCCAAGGCTTTACATATTGCGCTACATATTCGCTCCTTACCGTTCCTCTACTTCGTCCTCTATTCGCCCACACTCATTCTACCAGATGTGTTTGTTATTATATTCGTGCGGGTCTTGTTACGCTTCCATGCGCCAGATGGTCGATGGCAATGGCTCTCGACTGGGTTGGGAGGGGCACTATCGTATGTTTACCCCGAATACCGAATACCGAAATGGAGGACAGGGGGGAATTTGCGCAATACAAGCTAACACGAATAATAGCTTGATCACATGGGGTGCTTCCTCCATCCAGTTCGGATTCTTTATGCAGACCGGTGCCGAGGTCGCCTGGGCAGCTGGTGGTAGCTTCCTGAGCGATCCGGCGGCCATGAAAATTCTCCTCAGCGGTATCTCGACTGTATCCGCTGCGGCCACCGTCCTCGGACTCATTGCGTGGTTGCTTCATTCGCATTTGTACAACATCACCGGTCTTGGCTTGCAGGCAATCCGAGACCTGTCCATACGAGGATTCAAAGCGCGTTATACATTGATTTCCGCCCCTAGCAAATCCTGCATGACCTCGATAGACCTCCGGTCATTCCGTCGCATTATTCCCGCAGTCGCAATTTGTGTATCGCTTATTTTCTTGGAACTAACTCGGCCCGCTATACCGTATGACCATCTATCCGGAGCTCTGCCCCTGACACTGCTCGATGCTTTCCAGAAGAAGACGGCAACGGTGGAGGGATGTCGCGAGCCTGCCATGCCATTCCCTCTCACGGCTGATAATGGGGTCTCTCGTCCTCAGTTCCAACCGGACTCGACCTTTGTGGAACAATGGTCACGAGCCCCATGGCTCCCCGAGAACCCACCCCAAGGATTCAGCCGCTGGGATCTTAGCCCGAGCGAGCGTGCAGTGAAGGACAATCATTATTCTTTTGTTTGCACCGGTGATGAGAGTGCATTCTACGACCCCAAGACTGACCCGCTGATGGTCACAAATCTGGGCGGTGAAATTTATGAGCCGCTGCAGAAGGCGTTCAAAGAGCACTCAGTTGAGGTCAACCATATAGTGCTGTTAACGCTCGAAAGTGGCCGCAAGGAACTTTTCCCCACACAACAGGGCACACCCTTGTTCGATGGTCTTCTTGCGTCTCATAAGAAGCAGAAAGTCAACGAGGCAATCGATCGTCTAGTCAACATGACCTTGGTCGCTCAACAGTTGACTGGCGAGTACGCAACCGATAGCAAGGGAAACAAGGTCGACATGAGCCATTCTCCATGGAAGACCCCGCCACAAGAAGGTATGGGTGGACTTAATGTGCGTGGCGCCGTGACGGGTAGCTCCTTGACCTTCAAGAGTGTTTTGGGAAGCCATTGTGGTGTGAACCCTTTGCCAGTGGACCTTCTAGAGGAGTCTCTGCTCGAAATTTATCAGCCATGCTTGCCACAGATTTTCGATCTGTTCAACCAGGGCAAGTCGCAACCCGAGAAGCGCTTGCAAAACTCTTCTTCTGAAACCAAATCCGCGGCTCTCAAAAACCCTTGGAAGTCTGTATTCATGCAGTCAATCACCGATGACTATGACCGTCAGGACATCCTGAACAACAACATGGGCTTCAAGCACAAGGTCGTTAAGAGCAATCTGCTTTCCCCTCACTCGAAACACAAAGCTCAGGGCGAAGAGATTAACTACTTCGGATTTGCGGAGACTGAGCTCCGACCCTACGTGTTAGACCTCTTCGAGGAGGCCGCAAACAACAAGACCCGCATGTTCCTTTCACATGTCACCAGCACAACCCACCACCCCTGGAGTACGCCAGACGACTTCGAGAAAGAACCATACATGAGCGACCAGGGAAGCATCAACCATGACCTGATGAACAACTACCTGAATTCCGCCCGGTTCGTCGACTTATGGCTCGGCGATATAATGACTATGCTTGACCAGACTGGCATTGCCAACGAGACTTTAGTCGTCGTCGTCGGAGACCATGGCCAAGCCTTCGGCGAAGATAATAAGGACATGACCGGCACGTATGAGAATGGCCACATTAGCAACTTCCGCGTACCCTTGGTTTTCCACCACCCGCACATGCCTCGAGTGGACATCACTGCCAACGTAACCGCCCTTTCCATTGTCCCTACCATCCTGGATCTTCTCGTCCAGTCTAATTCCCTAGACGAGCGCGACTCCGGCATCGCCTCTGCCCTCCTCCCAGAGTATCAAGGCCAGTCCCTCATCCGTCCTTTCCTCTCTTCCATGGAGGAACCACCCAACCGCCGTGACCATCACCATCCTCCACCACATGAGCACCCAGAGCACGAGCGAGTAGACACCCAGGTCGAAGCCCGCTCCCACCCAGAGAGCCCACCCAAGCGCTCCGTTTGGAACATGGGCCTGATCAACGCTGGTGGCTCTATGCTGTCCATCATGGCAGCCGACGTTCCCTACCGTCTAATCCTGCCCTTGAAGGATGGCTTCGAGTACACATTCACTCACCTCAGCGAAGACCCCGGTGAAAACCACCCCTCCAAGGCGTGGACTCTCGCGGCCCTCATCAAAGAGGTTAAGCCTAAGTTTGGCCAAGAGTCCGCTGATTGGCTCAATGATGCTGAGCAGGTTGGCAAGTGGTGGGTGAGTGAACAAAAACGTATTTGGGGTTACCGTGAAGCCTAGCTCCGCGAAAACACCAAAAGCAAATCAAAAAGCAAAAATCAACCGGATTTTGTTGATTGTTATGGTCCATTCGCATTGCATTTCTTCCCTTTTTCTTCTGGTTCTGCGTCCCTTTTGCATCTCATGATATCTCCCATATTTGTCTTGGAACCGGCGTTCACATGGAGTTGTTTTCTCACGTATGAATGCGTGTATGCTTGAGCTCCCTCATTTTCTTGAAGATATTTCTCCTACTATGGCTAGACAGCCCTTTATTTCATTCTTCTCATGTGAATCTGCATAGGATGGGATTACACTTTCATGTTTTTCATCTTCTTTTGTATCCCTTGATGTTACTCAAACCTGGGTTGTACTTGTACGGAAGCCGAAAGAGAACAAAAAAATGCACATAGCACCGAGGGATCCTTCGGTATTTTGGGGTGACATCTGCATTTTGTTAAGATTGACCAGGTATTTCCCCTAATATGTATAATCCAATCCATTCGACTTCATTTTAGCTTCCTTGGAACGGTGCTGTAGCCTTGGGAATATAAGACTAGACCGGTTATTGGTACGACTAGATCTGATGTCCTAAATTGCTTTCCCCACTTGATTATGATCATCGCGATCTACCCTTGCACGGGATGCAGATGCTTATCCTTAACCTGAACTTAACCTACGGATCGACAGGCCCCGCTTGATCCACTGGGTTTCCCTCGGTTGCAATGTTCGCATGGCATTGTCCGGAGGAGCCTTGGCGGTATTTGACTTCATTGATCCTGGAATGCTAAGGCTAAGCTTTATTCTCGATTCCGTGTTTCCAAGGTCCAAATGTTGTTAATCTAACTGCGCACCATACATCTCAGTACCTAAATCCCATTCTTTCATGTGTATGTACCTGATCAGCTGGGCTCAACAAGTCCTGCGGTAGCAACTTTTTCGTAAGAAATCCTGTTACACCGATTTTGAAAGACGGCCGTCTAGAGTAAGAATATAAAAATGAACGAAGAGGGGAAAAGAGGAATGCAGTAAGTGCAACACAATGCTACACAGATCATTTTATAATACTACGTTCATAGGAAGTAGGTAGGTACAAAATACCTTGGCCATGTCAAGGCTCATTATTCAAAGTCGCGCAAGACAAAAAGATAGGGTCCGGCGGCAACGGAGGAACCCCGAACTGATGAGATATTTTTCCCTTCTCAGCTAACCACTTTTTCACCGACAGCATTGACCCGTGCATATCATACCCCACGCACACTTCATGTGGGATGCGAGACCTCCGAGCCACTCGGGGCGGGCCCGGGAAGTGCACGACAGGGGGGAAGAAGACCCAGACCAGATTCCGACAAACAAACGGCCCCTGGATCCGTACAAACAAGCCATAATCGGACACGCGGCCGAACCTTGGAAGTATGCAGAGTGCACACCGATATGGTAGAGGCTAAATCTAGCTGGTATATAGACATCACGAGAGCAGAAGAAAAAGTGGAAACCTCGGAATCTCCCCATTGAGTAAGGAGCTGGGAATGAAGATTCTGATGGTCACAAGGTGTGTGCTGTCCTTGGCTGATTGATAATGGATATTAGTGCAGGGTTTATGGCAAGATAAGCTATGGTCTGAGTAGCAGCACAAAGTCTGGACTCGGATTTCGATGTTCGAGTCCGAATTTTGTTGTAGATCTGTACTTCCTCGAAATCCGGAAATAGCTATTCGACTTGGACAACATTGACTTTCACTGATGACTAAGGCATCCTAGTCTAAATCCGAGATCTGATATTTCGAATTTTACATTTTAGAAAAAAGATATTTGGACGTTAATATAGGAATTGACCAATGAATTTCTTTTCGTCCGGGCCGTCACCTTGGAGCCGGGGCGATCGGACAGGAACCGATATCACAGGCCATATGTACTAATTTGATTGGCAGGGGCTCTCGTCGATCTGCAAAGAGCCACCTGACTCCGGATAGTACATACTTGGAGTGGAAGATTTCTAGAAGACCCGGCTCGAGGCTCGGCAATTTGTCTATGATGTACGTACGTGTAGCTCTGTCAAGGGGGAGGTCATCTGGATTGATTTCTTTTGCAAAAACATCAAGAAAAAGAATGTTGAGAGTCGAAGATCAGAGTGGCGTTGGGGATCCCCGGGTTCCCCAGACGGGTTTCCTAAACGAGAAATCCGGCCTAAGGTTCCGAACTGCCACACTATCGTCGAGAAACCAACTATCGTGAGTTTTAGCATGCCTGGTGACTGGTTTTCCGGCCTGTGAGATGAGCTATTCCTGAATTACACGTAGTTATCCCCTCGATAAAATTGGAACGTAAGTATGACGCAGAACACAAGAGAGTCAAATTTATTTGCTTGAGACATCAATTGACGCAGTATCCAAGTACTATGTACTACATATGTTGTAGATAATTATTATATGTCTTAATCCTATTTGTAGGCTGTGCATGCCTCCCCACAGCCGTTTAGCCTGCATTCCAGGAAGTCTGGACTCAATCCGCTCTGCAGTACCCTTGGTCCAAATCTGGATTTCCTTTTTGGGATATCCTTTAGTTTCTTTCTGTTCACGAGACACCTGGAGTCGCTTTAGTCCGGTTTTTTCTGGCCTTTCCGGTCAAAAAGATATGTATTTAAAGGGAGTTGATTCTGTCCACTGGAACATCCTCATTATTCTTCATCTGCACGCGAAACAATCAGTCTAATAATCTTTGACGCCTTCATTAATATACTTTCCAACTACCCTCACCTAATATCGCATCGCAATGTCTGTCTCCATCGAAACCACTACAGTTCCCACTGCACCCATTACCGCCCAGCCCGTCCTGCTGGGCCAGAAGTCCAGAATGCCCGAGTTCAGTCTCGCTGGGAAGGTGGTGTTGGTCTCAGGTGCTGCCCGTGGTCTAGGATTGACCCAGACAGAGGCACTCCTGGAGGCCGGAGCGAAGGTATACGCACTCGACCGTCTGGAAGAGCCGGTAAGTATCTACATCCCTCGCTTCTATGGCAGCACTAAACTAACAACCACTCAATCACCAGGCCCCCGAGTTTGAGCAGATCCAACAGCGCGCAATGGAGCTTGGCACCGAGTTGCACTACCGTCGTATCGACGTGCGTGACACAGAACTTCTCAACAGTGTCATCGAGACCATCGCCAATGAAGAGGGCCGCATGGATGGTCTCATTGCAGCAGCGGGCATTCAGCAGGAGACCCCAGCGCTCGAATACTCAGCCAAGGACAGCAACACCATGTTCGAGGTCAATGTCACGGGGGTGTTCATGACCGCCCAGGCTGTGGCTAAGCAAATGATTCGCTTTGGAAACGGAGGTAGTATCGCTATGATCGCCTCTATGAGCGGCACTATTGCCAATCGCGTACGTTCCCACTCCCCTCTCAGACTTTCTTTCTCTCTATGGAACATTTCCCCGCTTCATGTCACATTCCGCTCTTCTGGCTGGCCTCGATGATCTAACATATTCTCCCTACAGGGTCTTATTTGCCCCGCATATAACGCTAGCAAGGCTGCTGTCCTTCAACTCGCCCGCAACCTCGCTTCTGAATGGGGCACCTACAACATCCGCGTGAATACCATCTCCCCTGGCTACATTGTCACCGCCATGGTTGAGAAGCTCTTTCTCGAGTTTCCCGAACGTCGCGACCAGTGGCCCAAGGAGAACATGCTTGCCCGTCTTTCCCGACCGGAAGAGTACCGTGGTGCCGCTGTCTTCTTGATTAGCGATGCTAGCAGCTTCATGACTGGAAGTGACCTGCGAATGGATGGTGGCCACGCCGCATGGTAGATTTTATGGCCGAGATTCAATTTTGCCTTTTCAATCACTGCGCGTGACTATTTTCTTTTTGTCTCATTGCATGGCGTCCTGCGTCTTTTTCTTTCGGGTCATTGGCGGAAATAGCGCGCATGGGCTTTCATTTTTGGTAATTTGGCTTTGATCATTGCCTTTTCTTGGATAGCCTTAATCCGCTTTGGAGATTTGAATCCTATGATGACTTTAGACACAAGTCGATCGCCCAAATAATAACAGTTATAATTGTTTGAACAGTTCATCCTCGTTCTAAGGTTTAGCTGCATGTCAATCTTTGCCTACTCGAGTTAGATCAATAATCGAATCTCATGGTTGTGCAATGACATATATTCACTGTCATGCGTAGCCTTGTATTTACGTACGACCGCCACTAAGAACTCGAACCCTGATACTTTCCCACAAATAACCGCGTCCAGCCATCCAGTCGGAATGTACCACATACCTAGACCACCAGAGATCACCAGACCTCCCAACAACGCTGCTCAACGAACTTTAGGGTTAATCTAAAAGAGATCAAATGTTGGGGATACATATGTTATAAAAGAATGACTTTGCTAAATCTGGTAACCTGCAGACACAAATTATCGCGTGATAGGTACGTGGCCTCGTAATCGTCATTCTGATGTCTTTTCTTTTTAGCCGCCAAGAACCAGTTCGGGACTGACACCGAACCTGGGGAAGATGCGGAGAACTGGGTCCAATCAGACGTCGAGCCGGGTGCTTGACTGTGTGTTGGCTTACTGGTGGAATACCTTAATTACCCTTAGCCTATTATGTACTTACAACAAGCAATCACTTGGGATAGTCTTCTAGGGGCATGGCAGAATGCGGATAGGTTGCTGGAAGTTTATGCTTTGGGTTTGTCTAATGATGACATCCCAGCCCAGATAGGTAAGCAGTCTCAAACTAGATTGCTTGCTTGGCCAAGTACTCGGGTAGCGGAAGACATGGCTTTATGGATGAATAATATGTAGACTTATACTATTCAACCCGCATCAAGACTACACAAGACTACACAAGACTACACACTGTAGGTCAAGGCAGGCCTGAGAATATGAGGATGAGGACACTCTGTGACGTAAGCCAATGGCACATCTTGGATTAGCATTCAAGGTCTGTTCTTCGTAGTTTCTTTGCTGAAATATAAAATACCTTATTAATCCTGTTGCTATCTGCAGGCTCCTCTACCTGCAAAGAACTTGATCATGATACTTTGTGACTATATCGGGGTTAATTTGACCTCAAAAGAATCCTTTGTTGAATAGAATGTTTGCGCCATTGTAACCTCACGAGGTAATATCGTCTATATCATATATGTTATGTTTCTCACTATAGCTATAGAGAAGGAACGAAAACTCTAACATCATAGCACAGGTTACATAGTTTGGCATATGCATGCTACATCTATCAGTCTTCAATTGCTGCTTTGGTATATTGATTCACTTGATGTTGAGTCGTATAGCCCCAGCCTAGGTCCTGTCTTGGCAGGGTAAGAAAGGACATGACTGCTGTTGAAGTTATGGCTTTACTACGGGTAACCTACGCGAGAGAATCGACTTCAGTCCCAACACGTGAATTTCACCTCGCCTGTTTACTTTGTTTACTTCTTCTCTCTTTTCATTCCCCTCCTTTTTCTTCCTCCTCTCATCCACTCACATCCTCCCATCTCTCCTATTGTTCATCCTGCATACCTTGCACTAGCCTCGAATCTTTATTCTATCCAAGATGGCAGCTCAGGCCACAGGCCGGGACTCGAGCTCGCTCGTTATCCGTGATGTTGAGCCTGCCAATACCACCCTGCAAAGTAACCCAGTTTGCAATGAGGTCGCTGATAAGAGTATCATCCCCGAGTCGTACAACCTTGACGTGGGTGACGAGGATCCAACCAGAGATGAACTTCATGGCCCCAATGCCTTGCGTCGCGTCTCAGCTCCGATTCCCTGGGCTGTCTACACCATCGCATTTGTTGAGCTGTGCGAGCGTTTTTCCTACCACGGAACCCATGTTCTCTGTAAGATAGCCACATCCCTATAAATATACTCTTCTAACATTGAAACACAGACTCTAACTTCGTGAACCATGCTCTCCCCCTTCCTGCCCCGAATGGCCCTCCCGGATCAAACCACGCAACCGGGGCTGGTGGCCCTAGCTCTCAGGATTTCTCCGGTGCTTTGGGTAAGGGTGTTGAGACTGCCAACGCTATCAACACCTTCAACACCCTCTGGTGCTACTGCCTTCCTCTAGTGGGTGCCTGGATCGCCGACGAGTACTGGGGACGATACAAGACCATCTCCTGGTCTATTGTGGCTGCCATTTTAGGTCACATCATTTTGGTGATCTCTGCCATTCCACCGGTGATTATGAATACTGATGCCTCCTTCGCTGTGTTCATTCTAGGTGTAATAATCATGGGCTTAGGTACTGGTGGCTTCAAGCCCAACATATCCGCTCTGGTTGTCGAGCAGATACCTGCCGTCAATCTCAAGGTGCGTACACTGAAGTCTGGTGAGCGTGTTGTCGTCGACCCGACTATCACTCAGAGCCGTATCTATCACTACTTCTACCTGCTTATCAACATAGGCGCACTGGTCGGTCAGATCGGCATGGTCTATGCGGAGAAGTATATCGGCTTCTGGTTGGCCTTTCTGCTTCCCACGCTCATGTTCCTGACTACTCCACCCATCATGTGGTGGGGTCGCAAGCGCTATCGCCAGTCTCCCCCGGCGGGCTCGGTAACTTACAAGGCCATCATGACAATCTTATTTTGTATGCGCGACCGCTGGCACTTTAATCCATACATCATGTGGAAACGAACACACGATGGCACTTTCTGGGACACCGCGAAGCCCTCCAACATCGAACCCCAATCCCGACCCAGGTGGATGACCTTTGACGATGCATGGGTGGATGAAGTGCACCGTGGATTTGCAGCTTGCGCAGTTTTTTGCTATTTCCCATTCTACTGGCTAGCCTACAACCAACTGACGAACAATCTCAACGCACAGGCTAGCACGATGACCGTGAAAGGCGTCCCGAACGATATTGTGAACAACCTTGACCCCTTGGCGCTGATTATCTTCGTCCCGATCTGCGACAAGCTCCTTTACCCCGTCTTGCGCAAAATGGGCCTTCAATTCACGGCCATTAAGAAGATTGCCCTCGGTTTCTGGTTGGCGTCGCTCTCCATGATATGGGCTGCTATCGTTCAGTCCTACATCTACCTGACTTCGCCCTGTGGCTTCGGAGCTAACACCTGCCCCAACGACGATGGCAGCGTCCACCCATGTCATATCCTTGTTTGGGCTCAGACTGGATCCTACGTCCTGGTTGCTGTATCGGAGATCTTTGCCGTCATCACCTCAATGGAGTATGCCTACTCCAAGGCACCTCGCAATATGCGTTCCCTCGTCCAAGCTATGAATATGTTCACTAACGCTGTCTCCGCAGCCATAGCTGAGACTTTGATACCGCTTTCCAGGGCCCCTTTGTTGGCCTGGAACTACGGCATCTTCGCCATCTTGACCTTTGTCGGTGGCGCCGTCTTCATCGTCCAGTTCTGGGGCCTGGATAAAGAGGAGGACGAGTTGAACAACTTGCCCGAGGGTCATGTGCAGGCTAGTGAGAGCCCGGGAGACCATGTTGGGGTTGGCCCTAGTCGTGGGTGAATGCTGACTTTGCGTTTGCCTGGTTCGATTGAGATGATGAACTTCCAAAGTGAAGTGACGCTTCTGTCACATCTCAATCGATTCAGCTGGTAGTTAGCTTTTTTTCAAATTTGAGTTCATTCTAATGACTGCTTCTCTGTAATGTCATTTGGTAGTAAGGTCAAACTGAGCTCCTTTTCAAATAGTGCCGATCTCGATTCGTGACATCCATAGCCTCAGTTCCACGCCATAACAGCCTAGAGTATATAACCTTGGATCTGTACCTATGAGGCAGTAGAGACGATCCGATTACAGTCCTTAAAAGGCAATACACGCGATCCAATTACGGCCTCTCGATTTGATCCACCTTGGACTTCCGCCAGATCCTTTTTAACTGTGGAGTGATTTGAGAGGCGTCCATTTTTAGGCATTCTTAGCCCTAGAGCCATTCATGAAACTTACTCCAATGAAAGCTGCGGAAATGCAGATGCCTACTTGGCCACATCGATATTATCACATGACACTCTCGGCATCAGCCCCTTCCCAGCGCCATTTGGGCAGCCTTACCTCTATGGCGGCTGTGATCTGACCTGCGCCTCGAAAGCAAACTGATTTTTCATCCTATATTCAATAGTCTGTGAAGAAAGACGGAGTTTTCGGAATATTTGACATCACTCTACTCCACTCGGCAGCGATGATTCGTGATCCCTATGAACATATGGAGTACATCCAAGTGAACTGCCTGGGACATCGGGGGGCTTGGCTAAGCTTCCGGCAGGCCCGGCGCATAAGTATTCACCCTCGCTGCATAAGTATCCCCCCTTAGTACATGGGAATTCATCCTTCTCTACGATTCTTGCGCAGTTACAGTTGATCACAATTGTGATCTAACCGCCATGAAGACTTTTGCTCTAATCTCAATTGCTCTGGGCTTGTCCAGTAAGTGCTGCCCCTCGCAGGTTTTTTTTCCCGCCATTCTTGGCTTACTTACATGTACACGCGTCTACCAAATAATTTCTCCACTCTAATCACCATGTCCTCGCAGGTGCAATTGCTGTTCCCGGCGGGTTCAATGATGATAGCACATTCGCAGGTGTGCAACGAGCTCTTCCCAATGCGCCCGACGGGTATGTGCCGACGTCTGTCAGCTGCCCGGCGAGCCGACCGACAGTTCGCAGCGCAGCGGACTTGTCCTCCAATGAGACATCATGGCTCAAGGTCCGCCGCAGTAAGTCTCTGTCAGCGATGAAAGATTTCTTCGACCATGTGAAAGTCGGCGATTATGATGTCGGTGCCTACCTCGACAAACACTCTAGCAACTCGTCAAATCTGCCTAATATCGGCATCGCTGTTTCAGGCGGCGGTTGGCGTGCGTTGATGAACGGTGCCGGTGCGATCAAGGCTTTTGACAGCCGGACGTCCAATGCGACGACTACTGGGCATTTAGGTGGTCTGCTGCAGTCTGCTACCTATATCGCTGGTCTGAGTGGAGGCAGCTGGTTGTTGGGTTCGATCTATATCAATAACTTCACTACGATCGACAAGCTGCAGACGCACGAGGATGGTTCCATCTGGCAGTTTGGAAACTCGATCCTCGAAGGTCCTGATACTGGTGGTATCCAGCTTTTGGATTCTGCCAGTTACTACAAGGAACTGGGCGAGGCTGTCGAGGGGAAGAAGAAGGCTGGATTCGATACTTCTATCACCGATATCTGGTATGTTATTCCTATTTATCGGGATGCATGTGCGTATTTGCTAAATTGGTTACAGGGGCCGCGCACTCTCCTATCAAATGTTCAATGCTAGCAATGGTGGACTCAGCTATACCTGGTCTTCCATTGCCGACACCTCCGAGTTCAAGGACGGAGACTACCCCATGCCGTTCGTTGTTGCGGATGGCCGTAATCCCGGTGAACTGCTCGTTGGCAGTAACTCGACCGTCTATGAGTTCAACCCGTGGGAATTTGGCACTTTTGACCCTACAATCTTTGGTTTCATTCCCCTCGAGTACCTAGGCTCTAAGTTTGAGGGTGGCTCGCTTCCGAGCAACGAGAGCTGCATCCGTGGCTTCGACAGTGCTGGTTTTGTGATTGGAAGCTCCTCCACACTCTTTAACCAGTTCCTTCTCCAGATCAACACCACTTCGCTCCCCAGCCTAGTGAAGGACGTTTTCACCTCAGTCTTGTACGGGGTAGACAAAGCGCAAAATGATATCGCTTCATACGATCCCAACCCCTTCTATAAATACAACCCGGACTCGTCGCCGTACGCCGCGCAAAAAATTCTGGATGTCGTCGATGGCGGCGAAGATGGACAGAACGTCCCTTTGCATCCTCTTATCCAGCCCGAGCGCCATGTTGATGTCATCTTTGCCGTTGACTCTTCAGCCGACACTGACTACTACTGGCCAAACGGCACTTCCTTGGTTGCAACCTACGAGCGCAGCCTGAACAGCAGCGGTATCGGCAACGGCACCGCCTTCCCTGCTGTTCCAGACCAGAACACCTTCGTCAACCTGGGCCTCAGCACCCGCCCGTCCTTCTTTGGCTGTAATAGTTCCAACCAGACCGGACCCTCGCCTCTTGTCGTGTACATCCCCAATGCCCCTTACTCCTACCAGTCCAACATCTCAACCTTCCAACTAAGCACCGACAACACTGAGCGTGACAATATCATCCTCAATGGCTACGAGGTTGCCACTATGGCCAACAGCACCCTCGACGGAAACTGGACATCTTGTGTTGGCTGTGCTATCCTCAGCCGCTCGTTCGAGCGCACGGGTACCACTCTCCCTGATATCTGCAACCAGTGTTTCGACCGGTACTGCTGGAACGGTACTGTGAACTCCACCACACCGAACAATTATGATCCAACTTATTACCTAACTGCTTCTAGCATGGGTACGATGAATTTGCCTACCATGCTGTCTGCGGTTGTCGTATCCGCCCTGGCAATGCTTACTCTTGTGTAACAGAACTTTTTTTTTTTTCTTCTTCTTCCCACTGCATGTTTCGAATGCGAATAGCTTCGACATGGATTTTCGCCATTTGACACACTTCTTTTTTCCAAGCATGGTGGATGTGCCATCGAGCCGTTCTTCGTGTCATTTCCATCTGCCTGGTATTTGCCTAGACATCTTCGAATCTCTTCGGATCCAATTCGATAGCAATGCATATATTCCCATATAATCAACATGTTTACACTTCCGTTTAGCATTTATTTCTTCTCTCCGTTCGCAAATAAACCTAGCCTTACTCTTTGATTCGAACTTGGGCTTACTGATAGTCCCTACCTAGTTCAGATCATTAATCAATGGAGTCTTGTACACATTTGCACATGGTTATAGCTCTGCTATCAGGTGCAACACGGTGCTTTAGACCAGCATAAGGCCAATAAACGCACATTGAGAGGAGTAGTAGGAGATCCTTTCTGAACTACACTAATTATACAGGTATCTAGTAGAAATATATATCTGATGGCATACAATTTATGGCGGATTGAACTTCTTGATTATTTTAGATGATGATCAGAGCAACTTTTACCCTGCTACTTTTTGATAATTTTTATTCATAATTCAATCTGTCCTTGAATCAAAATGTAAGATCCTTGTCGACAAGCATGTTTTCTTTGCAGATCATATCACGTGCCAATGTTGCTATGGGAAACGCCACAACAAGCAACCCACGATCAGCCGCCACCTCCACAGTGGGTTATTTGCTTTGCCTTGCTTTCTCATGCACCTAATTCGACAACTCCCGGTAATCTGCGACCTTGCGACATCGGGCCGATATCATATTTGACCGCCCAAACCCGCCATGAGTGTCGCGTGCCAATACTAACTGCGACCACCAACGACAACGCGTGATCAATATGGCGCGCGCTGCAATAATCCCACGATCCCCTGCAAAACGGGCGGTACGAACTTCAACCAAATCGACAGCTGCTGCCGATGCAAAGAAGAAAGCTCCCCGAAGAGCAATTCCAGCACCACGGGCTGCGCCCCCGACCGATGATGAGTCCGATGACGAGCTGGGGCTTATCACAAGTAAACCCGCAAGACCTAGTGGACGTCCTCCTGGCCGACCAGCTACCAAACCAAAAGCGACTGGAACTGTGACTGCGCGAGGAAGGAAGGCTTCCTCGGAGTCACTCACCGACCAGTCAAAACCCCAGAACAACACCCGCAAAGATGAGATAGGAGAAACCGAGGCACCAAAAAAGCGTGTGGGAAGACCGAGAAAGAATCCGTTGCCCGAAGAAGCTGCTACGACTAAGGCTGAGGCAGCGCCGAAAACAAGGGGACGACCAAGAGCGGGAACAATAGTGAAGACCTCTCAGGCCAGTGAAACTACGGCCACGAGCAGACGGACACGTGCGGCAGTCGATACAGCGAATGAGACGAAATCGAACCAAATTAGGATTGCAACTAACTCGACAACTATACGCTCAAATCTTCTACGTGGGCCCGCCAAGAAGAAGACAGTGAAATTCCAGGATGTCTCGGGCTCCGAAGCAGAGGAATCTGCGCCCGAGGTTTCTGCTGTCGGCCGTCGACGGGTAGCTACCAAGAGTGCGGGCGTTGGCAAGACCGGCCTTGGAGCCACCCCTGTTAGCAAGCCTGTGGCAACCGGCACTCGCGGAAGGAAACCAGCTGCAGCGAAGAAGGATACGGCCCAACCATTATCTCCCAAAAAGGCCAAGCAGGTAGCCAAGTCTCTATCAGCCTATGCAAGCTCCGACGGAGAAGAAGATGAATTGAACACCATTAAGGACGATACCAAGGGCTTGGTCAGACTTGTTGTTCACTCGCCTGTTAAGCGTGGTTTAGAGACTACTGGACTGAGCTCTCCTGTACGGAGGATCAATTTTACACCCAAGAAGGCGTCCAGCTTCATGGACGAGAATGGCGAACCGAAACTACCAACCCCAAAACACGGATCAGACGGCATCGGTCTTAGCTCCCCAGTCAGGAAAATCAACTTTGCACCGAACCGCAGCCAGAACGCAGTCGCAGATAATGGTCACCTCGCTCTTCCATCTGGAAATTCGGTTGTTTTCAGCGATTCTATGATCATGTCTAGCCCCGCAAGACGACCAGCGCCATCATCTCCCTTCCAATTCTCCATGAAAGACACCCCGAATCGTGGAGGTTCCCTCTTCCGGGACAGTGTGAATCCAATTGCCGCACCCGACTTTACACCCGGACGTGTTTCTCCACTGAAGATGTCACCTAAGAAGGGTTTGGGTGCTAATTTCTCGCAATCGGCTTTCAAGGCTTCCACACCAGTAGCCCTTGCTCGAACTCCCTTGTTTCAGAGCCCCGCAAAAAGAATACCTTCGCCATTCAAAAACTCGATATTTTCCACTCATACATCCGTGGTGGACAATGACGGAACCCCCCTTAAGACGGTTGAACGCCCACAATTCACCACCCCCAAATCCTCGCCACGGACAAGCCAGCCAGACGAGGCAGCCTTTGAAAAGGACACTGAAATGGTCGAAGATGTGGCTCGAGACATCTTTGGAATTGAGCTATCTTCTGATGGAAAGGGATCATCAATTTCTCCCATCCAGAAAGATATTGCTGCCTCGGAAGTAGCTCCAGACTCATCCAATGATGGAAACACCGACCCTCTCCCTGCGGCGGTGGAGGCGGAGGCCGAGGGAGAGTCAGAACTGGAAGAAGACGAAAGTGAATATCTTCAAGATAAGGCTCAGCCGGAGGATGAAGAGCCTGAAACAATTTGCTTCGACGCGATAGAAGAGGCCAATATGCCAACTGAGGACCACTATGATCAAAATCAGCAGGAAGATTCAGGTTCCGTTAGCGAACAACTTCAAGACCACACTCAGTTTGACCGCGAGGAAGCCGATACAATCTGCTTTGACGACATGGAAGAGGCCCAATTGGCAGCGCATGATATCCATGACCAACAAGTTCAGGAAGCCTCGGATTCCGAAGAAGATGAAGAGCTCCAAGATGAGAACGATTTTGAATATGAGGAGCTTGACACAGTTTGCTTTGACGCCATGGAAGAGGCCAACATGCCAACCGAGGACCACTATGATCCAGAGCCTCAGGAAGACGCAGGGCCCGGAGCTAGTGAACAACCTGAAGACCAGGCCCAATTCGACCGCGAAGAAGCCGATACAATCTGCTTTGACGCCATGGAAGAGGCCCAACTGGCAGCGCGTGATATCCATGACCAACAACTCCAGGAAGCCTCAGACCTAGAGGAGGGTGAAGATGTCCCTGACGAGAGCGAATTTGAATACGAGGAGCTTGACACAATTTGCTTTGACGCCATGGAAGAAGCCCACCGCGCGGAGAATGACCTATACCACGAAGAAGATCAGGTTGACTCAGTCATGGAGGACACGAGTTATTCTGAGGAGCTGGCAGTATTGGAGAAGGAGATTGAGGAGGAAGAACTCCGAACTTTTGATACAGGATTCCGGTGCCAAGAATCGACTCCAGAACCTTTGCGAACTACGGAGATGCAAGAGCTAATGGAAGAGGGGCCGAATGAACTCGCTTCGCCCTCAAAATCACCATTGCATTTGACCAGTGGCGATGAAGTCCAGCGGACAGTTGACTTAGATCATCCCTTAGAGAGTGAGCGTGAGTGGCAAGAAGAGGCCACTCACCAACCCGAGGACGAGGAACAAGTGACGAGCGAGGAAAGCGAAGTGGAAGATACTGAGTCTATCCTAGCCGCGCCTGCGTTTTCTACAATATCGTCAAAGCCTGCCTCACCATATGAGAGCAGCCATGTTGAGGGTATTACAACCCCACTTGAAAGGACGCAAGCGACTCCTTTGTCAAAACCAAGTTTCGCGGTCGGCGAATCTACTCCATTGTCCGTAAATCGCCCAGACAACTCAGAGAATGACCATGGCTCCACCCTCGATGCCAAGAATGCCAATAACGTCATAATTGACACGCCCCTGCATGAAGAAAATAGCTGGAAACCAAACACCCAGGTTGACAGTCCTGCTTTAATGGCACCCAGTCTCTTCAACACACCAAGCGTTGCAGGTCAGCATCAATCCCCTGCTGAGGCTAGCATAGGCTTTACACCACTGGCACAAAAATTTGGTCGCTGGGAACAAAATACGCCTTCCCAAGCTAGATCACTCCGACCGCGTCGCCGTGGAGTCTTTTCATTAGTAGGCCCCTTGGATCGCACCAACAAGGAAACTCCGGCGAATTCTGGTACTGTTCCGTATCCTGATTTGTCAAAGAGCCCTTTGGAAAACCCGCCCTCTTTGTTTGCCGAATTACCATCTCAACCTCAAAGCGGTACTACTTGTATAAGCCCCGATTATGAACAGACTCCACGGCCATCTTCCATTTATGAAGACCATCAAATAAGAGATTCTCCAAGCACACGCACGGATATATTCGAGGATCCTGACTCGGGAAATATTGAACTGGAGCATACTTGCGTCACTCAAGTCCCGCAAGATCAGGATCAAGACTTCCATCTACTCGATGACAAAGAGAACTGTGGTCCTCTGATTCTTCCTTCAACCCCAATGAAGGCTCACGTCCAGCCCGACGAATTACGCACCATTCATACTGTCTCAAAAGTGCCTTTGAAGGCTGAAGGTGACATATCCCCTCTCAAGCTGCGCCGCAAGAGAGGTCTGTCCCCCGCGAGCCCATCTCCCACTCGGTCTTCTCCGCGTGTTCGCAAGCCAATCTTCATGGCACTCAACGATAGTGTACCTATTCTGTCTCCTTCTCGGAAACCTCCACGGGTGAGCAGAAGTCCGACACCAAAGCGCCGTTCTGTCACAAATAGACGCAGCAGTGTAAAAGCACCAGTGATGGCTCCGCTCAGTAATCCTGTCGCAACCGCCAGTCCTGCCAAGAAGCCACGTCGTAGTATGAGCACCGAGCAGATGGCTCTGCATGGAGCAGTCGTGCATGTGGATGTTCATACCACCGAGGGTGAGGATGCCTCTGGTATTTTTGTGGAACTTTTGCAGCAAATGGGTGCTCGGTGTGTGAAGTCCTGGTCTTGGAACCCTCGTTCCAGTCTCTCGCCAAGTGATGGTGTAGAGCCCAAGGACTTGAGAGTTGGCATCACGCATGTTGTATACAAGGATGGTGGCCTGCGAACTCTCGAGAAAGTCAAGAAGGCAGCGGGTCTTGTCAAGTGTGTTGGAGTCGGCTGGGTCCTCGAGTAAGTTTATCTTTTGTACACTTTCTTTACATGGCTTTTCTAATTGTTATTTCTAGCTGTGAACGGGAAAACCAATGGCTTGATGAAACTCCGTACGCGGTTGACAGCTCTATCATCCCGCGCGGAGGCGCTAAGCGCCGCAAGAGTATGGAGCCTCGTGCACTAAGCAATGTGAACGGAACACTCGTGCGCATCTCTGAATCTCCCGCGCCATCTGCCGGCGGACGTCGCAGTGGTGTCAATCCCGGTGCCGTTGAGGGTTTCCGCAAGATCACACCTCCGACCCACCAACAGGAGATGCCGTCCACACCCCAACGACAATCTTCTTCTGATAAATACCAATTCCCTGCTACTCCGGGATACAACTTTGCCAACCTTGATGCCATTGGCATGTCGCCCGCTACACCAGGATTCCTTGGGAACCGCTCCAAGCTTATCCAGCAATCTTGCCCGCCAAAGCAGAGCAATCGAGGACTATTCCCGAGTGCTAAGCCTGCGAGTACCTTGCTCGATGATGGACAAGATGAGGAATCTAGGAGACAGCGCCGCTTCCGCATAGAGGCTGCCAGGCGCAAGAGCCTTGTTTACAAGCCTGCCGTCGGTAGTCCTCTCGTTCCTTGATTTTATTCATTACATTATTCGCTTTATTAGATCCATACCCAGTCACTGTAAATACGGGGACTCTTTGTTTGGGCGTTTCTTGCATTTTGCCCCATGGGCGGCGAGCCGGATAGGTTGGACTGTTTTGTGCAAGGACAATTGTTGCTACTTTCTTCGAATCTCAGTTAAATCAATTCAATCCCAGATGATTTACATCCAGACTTTTTACTCATATCCGAAAAGAGGCCAACTTGCAAAACATACATGACTTTTGATTCAGAAACTCGATGATAATGCCCGAAATATTTTCGCTGTCCCGCTTCAACATTCAGATATCTCGTGTCAATCCAAATAGATGATATTACTCCTCAGACTCTTCACGATAGAATCCAGCAACCAAGAAAGCCAGCTCCAAAGCTTGCTTCTCGTTCAAGCGTGGATCACAGAATGTCGTATACCGCTCGCCAAGTCCATCCTCCGTCAGCCCACCAGCACCACCCACACACTCGGTAACAGCCTCTCCGGTAAGTTCTAGATGCATACCACCAAGGAACGACCCTGCAGCGCGGTGGATTTCCAACGCCTGCTTCAACTCAGACAAGATATCCGTGAAGTGGCGGGTCTTCACACCAGACGGTGTGCTCTGCGTATTGCCATGCATAGGGTCACACTGCCAGACAGGGATATGACCGGAGGCCTGCACAGCGGCAATATGACCAGGGAGGAAAGTGGCGATTTTCCCAGCGCCGTATCGCGAGATCAGAGTCACCTTCCCGACTTCGCGATCCGGGTTCACGACATCCAGCAGCTGCACCAGCTCATCTGCCGCCATGCTGGGCCCGATCTTGATTCCGACGGGGTTAGCGATACCACGGAAGAACTCGATATGCGCACCGCCGAGTTGGCGGGTCCGGTCGCCGATCCAGAGGAAGTGGCCGGATGTTGCGTAATAGCCGGTTTCGGGAGCCGTGGTGGTGCTTCCTGGGCGCGCTGGGTGGCGGAGGAGCCGGGTTAGACTCTGCTCGTATTCTAGGGAGAGGCCTTCGTGGCTGGTGAAAATGTCGGCTGTCTCGAAGCCGCGGTCTTTATCAATTCCTACCGTGTGCATGAAGCGCAGGGCATCCTTTACTGCGCGTACGGTTTTGGCGTATTGCTCTTTGATTGAGGGCGTGATTACATGGCCCAGGCCCCAGTCTAGTGGGGAGTGCAGGTCTGCCAGGCCTGAGGACAGGGAGGCGCGGAGATAATTCAGAGTCGCCGCGGAGTGGAAGTAGGCTGAGACTAGACGCGATGGATCCGGTTGGCGGGATACAGGGTCTGCTGCGAAGCCATTGATATTGTCGCCGCGGAAAGAGGGCATTTCCACTCCGTTGATGACCTCTGTTGGACTTGAGCGTGGCCTAGTTTTGTTATTAATTTTGTGGTCATGAATTAATGAATGAAAAACATACTTTGCAAACTGGCCTGCAATCCGGGCAATACGGATGACGGGCTTATTGGCGCCTATTGGTGGATTAGTTGTCATGTTTCTTTGCTTTTTGTGGGGGTCTGACATACCCCAGATGAGAACCAAACTCATTTGCAACAAGAGCTTCACTTTGGCTTCGATCATTTCTTGGCTGCAATAGTCGAAGAGCTCGGCACAGTCACCTAGACAGAATGCTTAGTGCTTGTTTGGGGGATATGCTTTTCTTGTGCGACATACCACCCTGTAGAACGAATGCTTTGCCCAAAGCGACATTTCGTAGGTTCTTCTTGAGATTGATGATCTTCAAACCAGGTCAATATAATAGCTAAGATCCAGTCTGAAGGAAAGACATACTTCTTGTGTGGTCACAAGTGGAGGAAGCTTCTGTAGTTTCTGCAATGAGTCTTGCAACCCTTGAGCATCCTCGTAGATGACATCTTGCTTGATGGGCTTTTGTGTCCAGGCTAAATATAGTCAGTGATATTGGATCAAATGTGAAACAGAGTTACAGATTTTTGCTCTTACAACTAGGGCTCCATTCGGCCATGGTGAAGGCAATCCCGAAAGGTGGGGGGGTCAAATTTCTTCGGTTTGACCAGCAGTAACAAGCAAATGCAATGGGTAAGGAGTTGGAATAGGCAGTAGAGTATTGGAAACTTCTTAGAAATAGTAATAAAGGACCGATGAGCGAAAATATATCAAGGACGAGCAACAAAAGAAAGCTAAACAGTGGTGTGTACGTGATACGCTTATTCCCGGACTCGGATGACTCACCTTAATGCCTGATATTCAAGGCATAGTATTTAACTATCCCACATCGTTCTGTGTGACGATATAGAGGTTGCTACTGGAGTTCAGTACAGCTTCAGTCAAAAACAGGGGAATGCTATTGACCAACTACAATTCAAATTGAACTCTCACTGTGTAGCAGGCTAGTGACATTCATTCCTCAAGCTATCAAGTAGTAACCTTAGCATGAACAATCGTATGGAAGGCGTCACGTCCTATTTAAGAAGTTCTGTACTTACTTAGAATTGAATGAGTTTGACGGAATCTTTGATCAAGTGGATGAGTGCTCTTCTCGAACTTGGTTATGTATATAGTGATATGCCATATGGGGCGACAGAGTTTTGTATAGAAATTTCACTACCCCAGATTTAGCGAAAGCCGACCCTGAAGCTAAATTTGGAACAGAAAAGACGGACCACGGAAACAATAAAAGGGGCAATCCAGGGCAAATGCTGGCGGACATGGGAAATTAGCCCAATCGTTGGCGAATAGCGAAGAAGAACGCAGGCAACTCTCGTGTCGAAATCGGGTCTAATCAGGCGACCACAAGGCCCCTGCGCACTGTGATTGGCCAAGTCTCGCGACTAAGCCTTTTGTGGCCATTTTCGGTTAGCGTCGTTGGTTAGGTTTGGCTAGTTGAGTACTAGCGCGGCCCTAATAGATGAGGGCCCTGGTTTCGCCTGGCTCCGAAGATATTTATTAAGCCCTCCGTCAGCTTGTTTTTTCTTTCTCTTCTATTCAACAAATATTGTTCCTATACTCCCACACTCGTTTGAAAATGCAGTACAAGGTCCTTACCACTCTTTTCCTCGCCGCCACGGCCCTGGCCGCCCCTGCGGATCCTACTGCTACATCCTCAGGCACTGAGACTGCCGACAGCGATGAGACCTACGATATCTCGGATGTGCCCAGCTCAATCATGAGTGTTCTGGCAACAGCCATCCCGGCCTCATGGTACGACGAAATCATTGACCCTGCCTCCCGCAGCGTGATCATCAGTGAAGCTGCCGCTGGCACCTACCCAGCTTGGTACAACGCGTTGCCTAGCAGCGTCAAGGCCTGGGCCACTTCCAACTTTGACGACCAGCTCGCTGGTGTCTCGGCAACTGCATCGGCAACCGGTACTCAGACCGAGACTGCTGATAGCAGCGCCATCGAGACTGGCTCCACCACTCCTTCCCGCCAGACCTCCAATGCCGCCGTGACCACTTCGGCTTCCACCACTGCCTCGGGCTCCACCTCCATCTCGAGCTCCAGCTCTGACTCCAGCTCTGACTCGAGCTCCAGCATCATCTCCAGCCCCAGCTCCGCCTCCAGCTCCGACTCCAGCTCTTCATCATCTTCTCCCTCTTCTTCGCAGTCTACTGGTGGCGCCCCTGCTCCTACTGGGGGCATTGCCATGGGAGTTGCTGGTATGGCTGGTGTTTTGGCTCTGGCTCTTGCCCTGTAGAGCATTGCATAATTATTCATTTGCCTGCCTGGCTGTTTATAATAAACTTTGACTTCTTGTGCATAATCCGTGTATATAATAACCTTTTCATTATATATAAGCAAGAATATTAGGCCGCATATGCAGTTTTGTCATTTCAATGGTCTTCTTAAATGTAGATAAATTATAGCCCACGTAAGTACTACATGATATAGACTGACCAACTGATCATGCTGCTAATCGATTATTATAAGGCACTATCGCGAACAAGAAGATTGACCTCTGACTTGATATGTTACAAAAAGAAAAGAATCGAAAACACTGCCGGTGTCTCTCGCTGTCTTTATCCAATTTTAATTGTCACTCGTAAAAAGGTATGGTAAATCGCTTGTTTGGTTTTCGGTTTTCGGACTGTTTATAAGCTCAACTGTTAGCATATCCAATCAGTACAGATAGTGATACAGTCCACGGGAATATAGAACCAGGCCAGTCAACAAGTCCACCAAATAACATCATAAAAGCGTACGGCATTTCTCTTTGCGGACTGTTCATGATAATTCAGGTTAAAATCTTCAAAATCAACACCGATATAGAGTAATGCAAGCAGACAAACCGCAATTGATGGGTCACTCTGGAACCCGATCCTCGATGTAATCAAGTAGCCTGAGAAGACGATTGTAAACTGTCCTGTCACTATTCGGGCGATTCATAAGTCTCCACACGAGCATATTCAGCTTGAAATGGAGCCCATGACAGTCCCGTATGAATTCATCGACGAAGTGCGTAAGAGACTCGTTTCGCACTGTCTGGCAGCCTGGGACATGCTCAAACATGGCCTGTCCCGTGCTTCGGATATTGTCCACCTCAATTGGAAGTCGGCCTAGCTTCTCGATTGTGGTTTGGCGATCTTCGGAAGACGGATCTTGCCAGCTTAGCCGGTCAACGACCTCCATTATGGAGGCTTGGAAGTGTCGCCATGCGTCGTGATAGGCCTGTTCCCAGATGGACACGCCGGAGAAAGAGGAGTTTGGGGACATCGTGAAAGTCTGTTAGTAGACCTGTGCTAGGCTATATAGTCGTTAGTGAAGTGATACTCTAAAAATAACACAACAAATCGAAAGAGACAGTGAAGTAAGGATGCGACCATAGCCGATTGACGATTAGATGAGAGCTGCACCGAGGGGATAACTCGACGCGGTGATGAATGCCTTTCATGGAGCCACTTGGAAAGTCGGGGACACGACAAAGGCTTGATTGTCTGAACCACGACTAATCAGATCTCAAGTCAAAGTGATCAAAGCACACAAAGGCCCTTGTTTATTTCATTTGTCTATTTGCTACTGACCCTAACTAGCAAAAGTTGGGGTGTATTATTTCCTTCGTATGAATTCACCACTCACTTCCTCTATCTCGGCAAGGCTTGCTTCTATCCACCCCGCCACTATAGATACTATTCTTATTCTTGTTTCCCGGGTTTTCAAGGAGTTTCTGATCAAAGCCTTGCGCGAGGTAGATGCGCGAATCTCTCGATCTATAGCCATGAGTCCCTCTATGGCGACCTTGATCAGACACACCATCAGCGCTGATATATACGAACAAAATCGGCCAAGCAGGTGCGACAGCTAGTAGTTTGATCTTCTATCAGTCAGTGGCCATCTCAAAGGTCACGCTTACATGCTTTACAGTTGGTCGAGGACGAAAGACGCAACGACTATCTGGGTGGTTCGGGTCCCGCCAGTAATCTACCTAAATTAGGGAAAAATAATAGGTGGTATTCAAGGCTGCGTGATAGACCGAATATAGGCTGATTGAAATCGTGCTCGAATTTGTCTACTCGAGGAATCTAGACTAGTTCGTGCTAGTTCCAATCTTGAAGGTTCAATACCCCAGTTCACTCATTCATGTTACAAACTATGAATACTACATGCAAAATCTGAATTGACAGACTGGCGGTAAGAAACTCATGCCCGGAGTATTTACGGTCTCATATCTCGAGTCCATTGTTGGCCAGGCGGTTAACTCGGCAACCTCTTCATCGCATTGACCCCACGCAAATGTGGGGTGAAATTGTGTCATAGCTCCTTTTTCACCCCGACTTTTCTTTTCTACAAGAGTTACAGACTGCTTTACGTACGGAGATAAAGTGCCAAGGTAGAATTCTGCACAACAGTGTGTCATACACCCGATCGGTATCTACCCCAGGCGCGCTCGCGTGACAGCTTCCCGAACCGGGATCTCCGTTGATGGGGACTTCTCCGCAAATCCAGAACCATGGCCAAGACCGCCACGAGGGCCCAGAATATGTCCATCCTGTCTCCCAGGACGGTTTCGACTTGACTGGTCATCATGTAGACTTGTCGGATACAGAAAGCGACTCCGATCTTGAGAGCGATGACACCGCAATTTTCGGAAACCCCCAGCCGAGGAGATTGGAGTCCGCGCCGCTGATAACAAGTCGTCGGCGATTTTCCTCAATTGATGAAGATAATGATCATGACGGCGTGCTCGGGCCGGTCGAGGAAGACGAAGAGAAACCAGTGACTTGGAGCTCGCTACCGAAAAAGGGCCAGTTGGCAATCTTGACCTTGGCGCGACTGTCAGAGCCGTTAACGCAGACCTCTCTGCAGGCATATCTGTTTTATCAGCTCAAATCATTTGATCCATCTTTGCCAGACTCGAAGATCTCCGCCCAGGCGGGTATGCTCCAGGGTTGCTTTACAGCTGCGCAATTTATCACCGCTGTCTGGTGGGGCCGTCTTGCCGATGCTGAATGGATGGGACGGAAGAGAGTGCTGTTGATCGGATTGATGGGCACCTGTCTGTCTTGTATAGGCTTTGGCTTCTCTCGATCTTTCGCGACGGCCATGGTCTTTCGGACACTAGGTGGGGTATTGAACAGCAATGTGGGAGTGATGCGGACGCTGATTGCAGAGATCATCGCCGAGAAGAAGTAAGTTGATATATTCACACAATGTGCCATCCTAACTTGAGCTAACTGTTTAGATATCAATCCCGCGCGTTTTTGCTCCTACCCATGTGCTTCAACATTGGTGTAATCATAGGTCCAATCTTGGGAGGCACTTTGGCCGATCCTATCAACAGCTTTCCCCAATTTTTCGGCCCGGGATCTGCTATCGGAGGTAAAGACGGTGTCTGGTGGATGCAGCATTGGCCCTATGCATTGCCAAATCTTTTGAGCGCAGTCTTCATATTCACGTCATTTCTCGCAGTATTTCTTGGGCTCGATGAGGTGAGGTCAATCTCTATCCGTACTGATATAGTCGCTAACAATGAAACCGCCCAGACCCATGAAATTGCACGTTATAGAAAAGACTGGGGTCGTAAAATGGGCAAGCGGCTTACAAGAGCTTGGGCCCGGCGACCCCGGCACTATCGTCCACTTACACGCTCCAGCGACGATGACTCCGTTTACACGGACGGCAGCCTCGGTGCTTGGTCTACGCCATCAAGCCCAGCCCGCTCTCGCGTGCATCCACGGCCGCATAAGAAAATAGGGTTCTGCCAGATCTGGACACGCAACATTGTCCTGACTTTAGTGGCTCACTTCCTGCTCGCCTTCCACACCAGTGCCTTCAACTCTATGACATTTGTATTTTTGCCCGCACCCCGTGCCCCAGAGAACTCCCGGCAAGGTCTTTTCCATTTCGGCGGTGGACTAGGTCTTCCATCATCCCGAGTTGGGCTTGCTGCTGCTATCATTGGTTTCATCGGCCTGCCACTCCAGATCTTCCTATACCCGATGATACAGACAAAGCTGGGCACACTGACATCATTCCGAACGTTCCTTCCCTTTTCGCCCATTGCATACGTGCTGATGCCCTTCCTTGTGGTTCTTCCACGCATACCATGGATTATTTGGCCCTCTTTCACGTTTGTCATTAGCTTACAGGTCATCTCGCGGACATTTATCCTGCCCGCTGCTATCATCCTAGTAAACAACTGTGTCACGGATCCGTCTATCCTAGGCACAGTCCATGGAGTGGCACAGAGTATTGCTAGTGCAGGTCGGACCATGGGTCCTTTCCTGGGTGGTTGGGGGCTGGGCCTGGGCCTCGAGAATAACATGATTGGAGCTGTCTGGTGGGCACTAGCTGTTGAGTCTTTGCTTGGTTGGGCTATGCTGTGGAGTATTTACGAGGGCAAGGGAATCGAACACAAGAAAGATGAGATAGAGGAGGACGAGGAGTGATTTTCTTCAACCTGTTGATAACCATTGTCTACATGCCTTTGTGACAACCAGACCCCTAGCATAAAGAGCGACTCTTGATATGTTGAAACGAAGTTTCGTTCCTACCTGATTGGTTCCGACTCAACCCATTAAATTGTGTCAAAAGCAGTAAATAATTTGAATCAACACGCCTGAACAGATGGGGCAATGAATGCCTTCATTGCCTCGGTGGCATCCCCATCATGAGCCTTGAGCAACTCCGTGGCTTTGGTCTTATTTAGATCGAGCTGCTCAGCCTAGATACATCAATAAGGCTGCACAAAGACGAGCACTGAGGCCATAGACATGGTAAACATACTAGCAGTGTAACATCAGCTGGAGCAACCTTAACTGTCTTCTTTTTCAGTCCATCAGTCTTCGGTCCCTCAGCCGTCTTCTTGTTGCCTGAGCCCTGTCCAGCAGCTATTTCTAGCCGACTCATGGCCCTTCCCAGAGCTTCTTGGTTTGCGCTAAGCGGAGCTCCGGCGGAGGCACCCTCCGTTGCGATCTCATTTGTGTTGAGGGAGGAGAGAGCGGCGGCGGCCTTGCGATCTTCGGCGTTTGAAGGAAGGGCAGTTTCGACGGTTTCTGGGTCAGCAGTTGCGGAGGGAATTTGATCAGACATATTTGCTTTGTTCAACGGACGTTGCGAGTTAGAGTTGATGTCGACTTGAGCTGTTCACTGTTGACAACACGACGTCACCGATAAGCCCCGGGTTCAGATAAACGCTGACATAATTATTTTGTCCATCCCCGGGTTTTGATCTAAGAAATTGGACTATGTTGTACATTCTCTTTGGGGTGCCTACCGCCTAGAACAGTATCCCTCCTTCCATGATTCTATCAAAAATTCAATCCTGTTTTATCTCGTCTTCCTAAGTTTCATCCTAACTCAAGTTCTAGCAAGGGTTGAAATTAGAAAAAAATTGATAAAACAAATGCACCGACCGGGATTCGAACCCGGGCTGTTGCTTGATTCCAGATATCGCTCTTTAGGAGCATGGGAAAGCAACGTCGTAACCACTAGACCATCGGAGCTTTATTACAACGATAATCCTTTACAGAAATCCAGTACTCTCCTCCTTTCTTCTACAGTCTACCTACACAAGACTCTTGAAAGACTACCGAGAAGACTTCTGAAGAGACTAATAAAGAGACTAATAAAGAGACTAATAAAGAGACTAATAAAGAGACTACTGATCCTATTGAGCAATTACAAAGGCCATAAACGCGGCCCACTGAAACTCACTTAATTCATCTTCACCCAATTCTCTCTGAAAGATCAGCGCAAACCATGGTTGAGCTGTCGATCCGGGGTGAACTCTATGTATTTTTACTTTCGTAGAGAGTATGAGCAGGAAATAGTTGTTCGGCTCAAATATAAATTACCAAGGCCTTGCGCTAAAACGTACAAACAATCAACAACAATTTCGAACAGGTAGGAACATTATGATGTTAACAAAGCGAGCGTGCATGCTGCTTCTGGTACAATTCAACATCACATTGTTTCTCGAGCGAGTTGCGTGAGTCTTGGGTTATCGAGGTGTCAGTTCGAGTATGCTTTGTCGTCCAGTTCTCGAGGGGGACAGCTTCGACACGATGCATATCGTTTATAAACTCGGCATTGGACCTGTTGATGGGTTCGGTACTCGGGCCCTTGGCACCGCTGTACTTGCCGGGCGTTGTGTTTTTATTTCCTCGATGAAAAGGTAACTTCCATGAGCGAGAGAAATTGGATGAAGGATGAGAGTGTGAGTTGTTGGAGTAGGAGCCGCTACTATCATTGTTCTGGTTGTCGGGCTTCCCATGTTTCTGGGCTCGGTTGCTGTTGTACTGGAATGCCTTGACACCAAACAACTTGCGCAGGAGTGGCCACCAGCACATGAGGTTAGCGACATATATTGCCGTGCTAGATTCACGGATGTACCAGATTTGGTACGTTGTGGTGAGAGGAGAGGCAAAATTGAAATATTTGTTTAGAATGGCAGCAATGATAGTGAACAGGCCCAGACTCATGACGCCGATGAGGACAACCTTTCTGCGCCGTTTGAGTTGAGCTTTGATAAGGAGGGGAATCGGAATGGCGAACATGACGGCATCAGAGGAAATATTGAAGACGGCTTGGGTTATCGAGTAGTACTGGTATGTCGCACACTGCATGTTATCCACCGGCATGGCCCAGTATTGTGAGAACGGCCGGCAGTAAACTGCATAATATGTGACCATTATGACGACAAATCCGACGGCAACGTAGACGGCAAGGATCTTGATATAGAGGTTCGATTTCAGATTCTGCGTGATTCGCCAATAGAGCATCAACATGCATGTCTTGACGCCCCAGGTTGAGATCAACATGCATTGCTCCAGCCCAATGACAATCTTGCTTCCATAAATCCGATCGCTGACTTGCTTTGGGTCTGCTAGCACCATGTCGTAGTCTTTAGGGTCCATGAGGTTCGTTGCGTAGCGGGCCGATATTTGAATCAGTACTAGCAGTGTGGTATATATTGCCTTTTGAGGAGCCGTCGGGTAAGTCGAAAGAAGTGACCATCATAATCGGCGATGATAACACTTACAAATGTTGCTGCCATCACATAGTCGTCCACTGGAGTTACTTATTAGCAGAATTCGAAACAAACCGATATTAGCAGTCTTACCAAACAACCGTTTATATGACCCATTGGCAATTATGCGAGCCACACTTCACTGCAGTTAGCAATTGCTCTAATTCCGGACTTGCGTCTCAAACCTACACTCTCCCGACATAAATAACAAGCCCTATAGACCAGAAGACTATGGCTTCTGTGAAAAGCTGGTTTGGAGTGGGCGACTCGTTACCCATCTTGAGGGATAGAGCGACCTTCTCCCTGAACCAGTTCTCAAGTTGTCAGGACGCGATAGAACGAGTCTACCATATATGAGAAATGGCAATTTATCGAAGCGTTCTGATGAGAAGCATCAGCGACAAGTTTGAATTGGCGCCATCACTTGTTTACCGGGAGCCTGGGTAAATTGTCAAATTATGTATTCGGAGCAAACTACTGTGCCGAGAGAGCGATCATTTCATCTAGTCGGTGAAAGTGGCTAACCTTAGGTCCCGAAGATGGAATTAAAGCTACCAACCGAGGGCTGTGGCGTCATGCGTCCTGACCCATGAGATGTCAGTGCTAGCTGACAAGCAAGGAAGAATGGGGCGTAAACGCAAGGGGTTACTTGTCTCCAAGCACCAATCTGGTCAATGACAGTCGGCTTTGGAATGTACAAAGTAGGCACGAAGTATGGAATAGATATGGGAGAAGAAGATTTATGCTTCACATTCCTCATTTGTGTCCTGGGTCCTTCCTGCCACCGACCGAAGAGGCTGGTTCAGCTCGTGACACTGTAAATGTCCAGTGTTGTGCAGAACGACGCAGTTGTGCGCGAATATCTCTAATGGGATGCGTTAAGCGAGATTGGTGTAACGACATATCCTTGGTCGCCATTCAATATTTCAAGCCGTAAAGTTCCCCCTATGCGCGTTGCTGATAGCTTTGTGATCTCCATGCCTCGAGCATACATAAACAAACTTGTTGACAGATCATATCCCAATAGTGGATACGTAGGAGCGGTGCGGCTGATATTATTGGGAAGTTTGGAACGCTGATCTGCATGGCGATCCAAGCGAGATTCAATAGTTCCTAAACACAAAGATTCTCCATAAAATAGACTTGCGCGATCTGCGAACTAAAGAAAGGGTTAATAAGAACTGGCATGGCACGCCAGTCGTGGACCGAAGATCATGTCTGATATGAATGTTCAACCTCCTTCATTTCATCCCTATGGAACCCTATTTCCCGATCAATTTTCATGATCTTAAGATTTGCAGGTTTGGTTTTGGAAGCTGAAAAGCCGCTAACTAGTGCATGGGAACTTGCACCTTTGCTCAATTGTACATCTGTCCTGTTCTAAGTACGAATATGCTTGCCATGCTCTGTACGGTTGTATTCCGGACTGCGGTATCTTTAGTATTTTCCAGCACTCGGGGAAGTTCTAGAATAACGAATAAATACAAGCGCTACTGGTTGCTACTGCTCGAAAAACTCGGCAAATCTAGCCGTATGAACGAAAGTCCAGAGCTGGTAGAGCAGGAAGGGATTGAATATGATCCGTAGAACGGCTGTGTTCCCATCCTACAGAAATAGTGATTCATAGTGCAAAAGTATACTCCGTACGGAGTGAGTCCAGTTCGGTCGATTGGAAGCGTGTCGGTGTGAGAAATTTTGCATATTTCAAACATAACTATATGTCTAGCTCTTATGGCATTGGCTATACCGGAATGTCCTTGATTACTCGGTTTCCAGGGATTTTCCGATACGGCCATCTCATTAACCAAGGCCAAGAACGTCCACAACCTCAGGGCCACGGTTAAAAACTGCGTCACTATGTGGCCGATTTTGAATGCCATAGCTCTATTTAACTTCTATCCTTCGGTTGGTAATTGAGCGCTTCTTAATTTGGTGACTCATTATGTTTTCATGTCCGCTAGCTAGCATGGCAAACGAAGCACCGATTGAAGCGAAGTCTGTCGCTAATGAAGAGGTCGCGCCGGAAGACCATTCATAACCGCTAAAAGATCTACCAGCGAGCCCTGTTACGTTGCTACAACACCGCAGTATGTATATTGTTGATGAAGTTGAAGCCGGTCATGTCCAGTATTGATCATCCGCGTGAAACTACTGAAAAGGGCTGTCCGTAGTTGGTGGGATAATGATTTATTATTGTATTAGCAAGGACACTATAAATGAGCTACTCAAATGGATGATTCCGTCATTTAGAGGCTCTTTTAGATTCAGATGATACCGATAGAGAAGACTTAAGTCAACACGTAGTCGAAAATATATATATTCTCCTAGAAAAGAAGAAACGAGGATTTGTACTATTCATCCAAGCAGCGAAGCCCTATACAACATAGAAAGCTCTGCACTCTATAACTATGTATTCATATATTTATACATAATGCAAATCATCAATCATGCGAGGCCATGTGGTCGATCTATCACGGACATCGCGATCTTGTGCATGGCGCAGACTAATTGAATGTCGCGCAGCAAACCCCTAAGAACGCTGGAATGCAGAATATATTTGACAGACCTACTAAAATTTGGGAAACACAATATTGGAGGGTTACCCCAACTGGATGAAATTCGCCTCAAGCTACGGAGTAGTCCGTACATTGTATGTGGCCAAGCCCATCGGATCGACGCCCCAAACTCCGCATTCGCCGCGAATCCCCCTTACTTAGTCTGCGATGTATCAACTCAGCTCCGATTCGGGCAGGTCACAAGAGAAACAATTCGTACTCGTCCAATCAAAAGCAAGATCGTAATACATTTGGGTAGTGCACTCCGTAGATACGTATAGTATGGGTCCTTTTCCAACAAAAATAGTGATACTATTGCCAATAACGTCTCTAGCTCCATATTTCATATAGGGTCTCAAAGAAAACACATGCATTCCTTCGGAGAGACTAACCCTACTCGCCTGAAGCTTGGACCTCGTGTAATACATGTGGCAGCCATGAGGGCATTGGCGTCACATCTTGGTTTCCTGTTGCGACATACCTGATTGTTCCTGTGCGCCCTGTATGCTCTGTCAAACCAAGTGGGGTGATGCACCTCCTTTTTCCCTTTCCTCGACCTAGTTGCTGCAATGCCTCAATCCCTTTGTTAAATATTCGCTCTAACATCGCACGACTTACGACAAAATGGCGGTGTTCTCATGGCAATCCTCTAGGGACACTGAAAAGCCCCCGAAAGGCCATGCCGCAATGGATGAAGTACGGCTTGAATCTGCACTTGGACACAAACAAGAGCTGCCGCGGAACTTTGGGATGTGGAGTTTGACCAGCTTGGGTATTGTCATTGCAAAGTAAGGCCCTTGAGAACCGGAAATTGCACTGATAGAACCTCGACAGACTAACAGGACCAAGTTCTTGGGCTTCAACAGGGGGTACAATCGTCGCTGCGCTCCAGAATGGCGGTCCAATGGCTGTTCTATACGGACTGATTCTAGTCAGCATTTTTTACACGACCATCTCAGCTTCCTTGGCCGAACTCGCCTCCTCCATGCCCTCTGCCGGTGGAGTATACTACTGGTCATCAGTTTTGAGCCGGAATCGGGGCCGCACAGCGGGGTTCTTTACTGGGTACCTGAATGCTTGCGCGTGGCTGCTGTCAGCATCATCGATGAGTTCCATGTTGGGGAATGAGGGCGTGGCCATGTATCTGCTCAAATACCCGAATGTGAAGTGGAAATCCTGGCAAGTATTTATTGTATTCCAGATTGTCAATTGGGCGTGCTGTGCCATTGTATGCCTGGGAAATCGTTTCATTCCTGTCATTAACCGCCTTTCCCTTATCTTGTCGATGTGTGGCCTCGTTACAACTATCGTGGTTCTCACGGTGATGCCGAAAGATCATGCCAGCAATACCCAAGTGTGGACTGAGTACCACAACAACACGGGTGGCTGGTCAGACGGGGTGTGTTTTATGACTGGTCTGTTGAATGCTGCATTTGCGGTTGGAGTCCCAGACTGCATTAGCCATTTATCAGAAGAGGGTACGTCAGACTCAGGAGAAAAGGAAAGGAAATCACCAACTAACATGTTTTAGTCCCCAAACCCGAGATCAAGGTTCCTCAAGGCATAATGTTGCAGATGCTCACAGCCTTCGTCACATCCTTTGTGTACCTGATCGCCCTCTTTTACTCTATCCAAGATCTAGACGCTGTCTTTGCAAGCAACATTGGCTTTTTCCCAACCGCCGAGATCTACCGACAAGCGACAGGGTCTAACGCAGGTGCCATCGGTCTGATTGCAGTACTGTTTCTCGCAACCTTCCCAACGCTGATCGGGACATTCGTGACAGGCGGTCGGATGTGGTGGAGTCTTGCACGCGATAACGCGACACCCTTTTCGAACTATTTCGCCCAAGTGCACCCGACACTGAACTGCCCCGTGCGTGCCACAGTCGCCATGAGCGCTCTCGTCACTTGTCTGGGGTGTATATATATCGGCAGCACGACGGCATTCCAAGCGCTGATCTCGTCGTTTATTGTGCTGAGCTCGCTGTCCTACTTTGGGGCCATCTTTCCGCATGTTTTGTCTGGTCGTGGAAATATGGTCCCCGGGCCATTTTATATGGGACAGAAACTTGGGATGGCGGTTAACATTGTTTCTTTGATGTATATTTTGGTTACTGTTATTTTCTTCTGTTTCCCCCTCGTGTTGCCGGCCACGGTTGAAAATATGAACTATACCAGTGTGATCGTTGTCGGCTTGATGGCCCTCACTGCCTCCTGGTGGGTGTTCCGTGGTAGACGCCAATACAATGGCCCTCAGTATAGCTTTGAGGCTGCTGAGCGGTTGGCTGCTTTCCAAGAGGGCAAGCAGGGCCGCCGATCTTTTATTGATCTTGTGGGTGTTTCGCCTGTTGGTATTGAGCATGGAAATGCTCCATGATGGACGAGAAATGGATTCTGAAATAATTAAAATGGGGCGAATTGGGACTGTTGTTGCGTGTTGATGACATGTAATCTCGTCAAAGCATGTGTATCTATATCTTGAACTAAATTTGGATGGGATTTGTGTATAAAAGTGCTGTCTATAGTCAAGCAAGGCGAGGCTAGAGATCAAATATGGCCGCACGATTAGCGGATCTTCAATTTGAAATTGGGAATAGGCGTCTTCAGGTCATAACTATCATGCATAGAGATCAATAGTGGGAGACAAAATATCCTCTCATCTTCACAGTCGCGACTTAATGCTTTGCCCTCCTTCCCAGGCCTCTCCAGCTTCAAGTGTCTGCCAACCAGACACCGAGCCAGCCTCCACACAGATCATGTTCTTGTAAGCCTCATCTGGGCCGAAATCGGCCATACCTTTGGCCTTCTCAATCCATGGGTTCCAGACCACAACATCAGTCAAAGCTTCCCGAGTGATCGAGAACAAAGGTTGGTCATCCTTCGCAGATGCAACCACAATTGGAGCGGAAGGATCCAGTTGTTGGTAAATGCGATCGGTTTCTTGGGTGATTGCCAATGCGGGGGACGATTCAGTGTGAGAAGTCGCTTGGAGAGTCTTATCGATGTAGGTCTTGGATTCGAGTCCCTTGACACGGATGTCGGAGATATCCTATTTGTAAAATTCCATTAGCAAGGGAATGAGAGGGGCGAGGGGGTCCTGGAGTATTTATCATACCGCAATGTTCAGATACGTGTGCATCAGCACCTGGAACTCAAAGTTCTGCTGGCCCTCGTTGCGAACCTGCAGTGCCGTCTCTAGTGAGTCCGTGGTGAGTGTAACACTGTACACTAGACCGAACTCATATGGCCATGCCGCGCGGAACTCATCGGTCAGCATCGAGTGCGACAGGCCGAAATCCAACTTCACAGTGAGATCAGTTTGGTCGCTATCCCTTCCGGGCGCTTCCGAAGAGGATTTGCCCAAGAACTCCCAGTTAGAGTTGCGAGCGAAGCCATGTTGTGGTAGAGATGAGGTAGCGTGGTTCTGGGGCGGGGGACCGAAGACCTGGAGAATAAGCAGGGCGGTTAGCTGTAGCTCAAATCGAGAAATTGTAGCGTTCACATACCGGGAACACCAGCGGAATGCCACCTCGGATAGGCTTGGAGCCATCCAGATGAGCCTTCTCACTGATGAACAGCTGCTCCTGGCCGCCCGTCTTCCACGAGGTCACAGTAGCGCCATACAGGTGCACCGTCACTGACTGACCAGTGGGCAGCGAAGCTTCAATGATGTTGTCCTTGATGGACAAGGTGGGCTGCGGAAGGGAAGCTCCCACTCCAATTGCTGAGGGTTTGTTTGATCGGTCCATATTTTCGAAAGTAGAGAGTGTGTGTCGAAAGGGAGAAGAGAGATGCTTTGGATGTCTTGACGTTTCAGGTGGAAGCGCGGGGGGTGGGGATCTTATCGGCCCCGCCTGTTTTGTTTTGACGGCCTCCGGTACCTTAATGTTCGACATTGGGAGTTTTTTTGATTTCAAGCAGGCTAACATTTCTAATGACCATCTAGGTACTAGTGAGGCTCGTGGTATTTGCTGGAGAAGGACTTGAAATAGCAAAAACCCATATCATAACCAGCTCATCTTCACCTTAACGACAAGAACAAGATATATACAGCCTATAGCTTCGGCAGAGTCGAATGTACACTATCTAACTTATCAGAACTCTTCCGGCCCGAAATCGACTCTGGCATGCCGGATTCAAAGTCAAACACCCCGACATCTGGCACAAAGTCGTGTTCCTTAGGCTGATTGGCGGTCATGATTTCGGTGCCCTCGGCCCTCCGGTGCGGTGGGATAAAGACATCGTAGTATCGCGGAAATACCACACCGAGCAGAGTTAAGAGCAAACAGAAGTGCGCCAAAATAAACCCGGCGATCATCATCGGGTCGTATCGCAAGGTATAGAATTCAGGATACGCGAAGCTGAACACAATGGCCAGAATAGGCGCGCTGACGTACCGGAGTAGAATGGGCCAGAAACGAGGAATGTTCCAGTTTCCATTACCGCCAACGACACCGTTCAGGTCGCGTCTCAATTGATTACCCTACAAATATTAGTTTCCGTTGGTGCTGGATTTGTTAGCAGTGGGGACATACCGAGTAGAATGCTAGATACCAAAATCGGGCGAGAAGAGGGTTCCGCCCCCAGAAACTGGCGGCTTTGATAGCCGGGGTCGTGGCGACGAGGACGGAAAGAATTGAACAGACGATATACAACCCAAACCCGGCGCCAGCACCAGCTGATGGATTCGAGATACCGTGTGCGACGGCGACTCCGACAATCTGGCCACCAAAGTATCCGAAATTATACACAACAAAAGCAGGCAGCCCTGTCTGGCTCACCACGTCGTGCCAGCGATAAACCGTGGTTGCACCGACAAGCTCCGACCAGACAACAAAGATCAATGCCACATTGTTAATCCATCGGTCGATTCCATCCAGCAGGTAGAATCCAAATTGCGTGCAGTATGGCAAACTCATAAGGAATGAGATTATCGTGAGACTAGTCACAATCATTGGCCGCGACATTTTCATGCCCGAATCCACGGCTAACGTGGCCACCGCGTCGAGCATCACAAAGGCCGAACTAAAACCGAGAACCACCAGGGTAAAGAATAGAAGGATAGCCCACCAATTCGCACCAGGCATGTGAAGAACAGCCTCGGGGAGGGTCAGGAAGCCGACAACGAATGCACCCAATCTCTCGCCATCTTGTGGCCAACGTCGGAGGTAGCCGATGACACCAAACACGGCAAAGGCAGCAAAGTTTTCGAATAGGATGTTACTTCCGCAGATGAGAAATGCGTCCATGACAGCATTGGAGTGTTTGGAATTATAGGAGGCATATGAAGTGAAATAGCCGAAACCAATGCCGGTGGAAAAGAAGACCTGTCCGACGGCGGTTTGCCAGACAGTGCCCGAGGCTAGTTGATCGCTTCTCCATGTCGCCCATAAGAGTCGGATACCCTCGCCCGCATTTTCCAGTGAACACGAGCGACCGACGATAATAATGGTGGTGACAATCGGCAGACCCATCGTCCAGTAGACCACGCGACCCGTCAGGCCCACTCCACGGAAGATGGAGATCCATATGAGAAACCAAATAAATGCGCTCCAGCCGACCGTCTCACCGATGAGGGCAATGCCGGGGTACACGGTATAGTGGGCAACGGCACCATTGCCAGCAGTGAGATTACCCACGGCTGGATCGACATTGGCGACGACATCGCCCATATAAAATTCCTCGATTCTGCCCTCCCATGGCAATGGGCTCCGGAAGGAGTTGCGGAAATAGTTCATGATCCACGCCAAATTGACCGTAAAGTATTGCACGACGACAAAACTGACCAAAATCGGGCCCATGCCAACGCCTTTCAGTCGATGGTTGATATTATTGAACGCGATCATCGTCCCGCCACGATAGGCTTGTCCAATCGCAATCTCGAGAATAAGGGCCGGAATGGCAATGGCGAACACAGCTAATAGGTAGGGGATAAACCATTGCAGCCCATAGTTATTGTAGACTACCGACGGGTATCGCAGCAGATTTCCCTGACCGGCGCAGCCTCCCATGGCGGCCAACAGGAAAGCCGCCCGAGAGGGCCATTGATCACGTCCATCTTCGGATTTTTGTGGAGGAGGAGCAATCCAGGCCACGACCTTCTTCAGATACTGGGCGAGTACCATGATGGTACCGATTAGACGAGGAAGGTGTCAGGCGGTTGAGATCTTTAAAACTTCATGTGGTGAGAACCACGCTGTTTGCAAGAGACAGAAGATAAAGAAAGTAACAAAGTCGACCAGAAACCTCCGTAGCAGATCAGAGACGCTTTCGTATGGCTTCCGACTGATGCCAAGGGCTTGCCAACCCTCTCATCCTGCTGCACCCGTCACCTCGGACCCATGCCAAGAGGCTTGGGGAGGAATTCTCAGCCTAGATCTTTAGATTCGTGGGTGGTGCGATGGGACAGTCACGCCAAGAGTCTTGGAAGCATCCCAGTGCGCTGATGGTGTGCCTTGTCGTGGTATTGTTGGCGGGATCAATATTACGGGCAAATATTAGCCAGCTTGGCTTGGTCATATGAGATGACATGCAGGCATCTCATGGTCATGATAGGCGGATGCAGGGTTCAGCCAAATGAGGTGAAATCTCTGATAAACAGTCGAAACCCCTTCGATTGCCAAGGGCGCGGTTCTTGGCATGAAGTTGCGCAATTGCATGGCAGCTGATTGCGACATATACTATAGGTAGAGTGGGTTTAGTAAGGACGCAATTAGAGTCATACTCTGCTCTTCTATTTCTAACTGAAAGCTCAAAGCTCTTCGGTCTAGACATCGTGAAAGCCATTGGGAGGAGACCCTCGACAAGAGTAAGACCAAGGAAATTCAGAGGTCCTTTTTGCAATGTTGTCATATATTCAATACCTACCCGTGCTGCATAAAGGAGGACCTTCTACCCTGTAGACTGACTCCTTCAATCTGTTTGATCTCATCTTCCGTCAGCCGCCATCCAAGCGCCTGCATATCCTGCTCCGCTTGACCAGCATCGCGCACACCAACCAGTGGGAGAACGCCCTTATTGATAGAATAATTTAGCGCGACAGCAGGAACAGACACATGCCGCTCTTCAGCAATACTCTTTAAAACATTGATAGTAGGTTCCAGCATACGCATGGGATAACTGCTAAAACGCCGCCTTTGCTGCGGCTCATTGAAGGTCGAATATTTCCCAGAAAGACGGCCCTCGGCTAGCGAGGAAAACCCTTGAAAGCAAATACTGCGTTTTTGCATTCTCGAATCAAGCCACTGACTTCAGGTAAGCGACGAACTACTGAGTACTCGCACTGGCAGACAGAGAGTGGGACATCGTGCTTGGCCAATTCATCAGCCATCTTGATCATTTCATTTGTGTCATAGTTAGCCACTCCAACCGCGCGCGCCATTCCGGATTTCACGCAGCCGGCCATGCCCTTAGCGACAATGGATATCTTGCTAGGATGTATAGGCCCTTGGACGAGATAGATGTCGACATAGTCTAGTTGAAGACGCACGAGCGAATCTTTAAGCTTAGACTTGGGCCCGCCAGACTGCAGGACTGTGTTGGTTATATCTGGTGTTGATAACCATTTGGTCTGTACAACGAAAGAGTCGCGAGGCATGTCTCGGAACAATATTCCACAGATCCGCTCGCTCTCACCGTCGCCGTAGGATTGTGCTGTGTCCACGAAGGTCAACCCAACAGCCTTGAGCTTGGCCCATGCTGCGTGGATGCGCGGTAGGTCTCTTGTTGGGTTGTAATCAAAGGTTGCTTTATCCCCCCATGACCATGCGCCGATACTCAGGCAGGGAATAAGTACATCCTTGCCACTCACACCGCGCAAGGTGATTCGGCTGTTCGAGTCGGGTGTTAGGCCGGGTGGAAGCATGCTGACCGGGTCGCTGAGATAAGGGTCCACCGGCTTGGGGTGTGGTGAGCTTGACATATCGGCTGCTAGGCAGGCTTGCATCATATACTGAGTGCCTGGGGTGGCCATGGCTTGGACAAATATAGTCAAGTCAGTATGTACATATGATTGCGGAAGCTTTGAATGATTCCTGTTTTGCCAAATTGATCAGGACTGGTTTGATATACTATTTAGGAAAGTGGCGGTATGCGTCACCATGACATTCAAGTAAGCTGTACCTGAACCTTTCGGGTCAGACTCCAACTGGCTAATATCTATGAATGGAGTGTTTTGATTGTTAGCGAAAGCAGATGGCCGAGGGAAATATATGGAAGTGAGTGAGTGAACTAAATATCCATAGAAACCTGTCCTTGTACTTCTTCCCGAAGATCATAATGTTCAATGTTTGGAAAGCTCGGAGCGCGGAAAACTTAACGTACAAGAAAAATAATTTGGGATCAAGCGTGCCAAACAATAAAATATGGGATGTGCTTCAAGTTATAAAGATATATAGGATGCAGGTGGGGAATAATGATGAGACGGGGTCCAATGTAAAAAAATTCATATCCAACAGGTTTTCGCTGTAAACGCCATTCGCTATGCTGAAGTATTGTGTCGCGTTGATGCATTTTGTGCCTCGCAACGGAGGTTGAAGAGGAGATCATCGACTTCGCGGAAAGCGCTCGGTGACAAGGTCGTCATTTTCATTTCACCTAAGAGGTTCTTCAGGGATTGGACGATGCCTTGTTCGCTGATGTCGGATTTGGGTTCAGGGGGTGTTTCTTGGGTTTGAGTACCCGTTGTGGCAATACTTGTAGTTTGCTCGACTGTTCCACCAGATTGCTGGACGGCATTCATGTTGATGTCCTCCTCGGGATCTAGTTTTACCGCAAACTCAATGGCTTGCTCCCTTTCAGAGACTTGAGTGGCAGTTGCCTCTTCGGTCGAAACAAGAGAGGTATTCTGGCCCGCTTGGTCTTCTGTAATAAGGCTCTCGGGGATCCGGTCTAGGCTGACATCAGGTGGCAAGCGGTCAGTATCGCCATTTTCCTCGGATGCAATGCTTGAAGGTTGAGGTTGAGACGCCTGCTGATGCCGTGTCTTGCGGGAGCGGGTATCTCGAGAGACGCCTTGAGGAGTGCTACCGATGGTGCTAGACACAGACTGGTCCTCAAGATGAATGGATTTACGAGTCCTTTTGGACGGCCGCGGGGTCTCGGCATCTTGTGTTGATTCCTGCACAACGGAGCTCTGAGTTGCAGGGACTGAATCCGTGGAAGCGTCATCAGCATATTTTCGTTGTGAACTGCGGGTGGATCGGCGAGTTGCAGTTGGTGATAATGATGGAGCTGGAGAGGCCGACTGAGAAATGACATGGTGCGAATGTGAGTCATCAGGCTGCAATAGCTCGACACTGACCACATCTTTAACTGTGGACAGCCTTGAAGACCGGCGCCTGTCAGTTCTCATAGTTGGGGATGATTCCATTTGATTCCGCTTTCTCTTCTTCCTGGATGGCTCGTCCGGAAGTTTTGTTCGCTCCAGATGACCTCTGTCCTCCATATCCAATGCTAGTTCCAAGTCTTGTCCAAGCTGTGATGCGACTTGTGTCTCTGTCTCCTCACTCGAGTCCATGAAACCATCCGGAGGGATAACAGAAGGCATGTCTGCGGCTTCCTGAGGTCGATCATCTGCAGGCTTAGACTGAGATTGCTTTCGTTTTTTCTTAGAGCCCGAGCTTGATTTACTTCTGCGAGTAGGTTGTTGGACAGGTGTCTTATCAGAATCAACTAGTGGCACCGCAGAAGGTTCTTCTGTATCCGGGTTTTTACCTAGCGCAGATCGAAGTTGCCGGCTGGGAGTCATTCCATTTACTCGAGGTGCAGTGTCGGCGTTTTCGTTATCATAGTCATAGGCATTCCCCATAGGTGTATCTATATTTTCCGTTGCAAGATGGGAAGTAGCCGGGCTGTTGACCGTTGACTGTTTGCCGGAGATACCGACAAGAGCCTTTCTTGCCTTTGCAGCCTTTCGCCGCGCACTTTTCGAGCGACTCTTCCGAGGGCTTGGACTCCGAGATTGCATATCTGGAGGAGAAGATGGAGGGTCCATACCCAAATCCGCAAGTAGATGGCCCGATGTGAGTGCGTCGGAGTTCATAGCAGGCGTTGGGTCTCTGGTTCCAGGAGTAGGAGAAGAGCCGATGAATCCTTCTTCATTCTCAGTAGGGGCGAGAGTGGGCGTTAGAGGAAGTTCGGTCTTTGATTCTCCATGTAGTTTGGGCAGATGCGGAGGAGTATCGAAGCCCAATTTCCGCGGCGTACTAGCAGGCGACGAAGATTGAATGGATTCAATCATCGAAAACATTTCACTACGGCTCTTGCGCTTGTGAGACACTGAAACACCATCAATAATTTGCGCATCCGTGGGCTGATGAAGGTTACTCGGTAACTGGGGTTCATGGAACTGCTCAGTTGGCTTGATGGCCACCGAGGAGTCTTCGGTCCGTATGACGGGGGACGAAAGCTGAGTGTCCTGAGACGGCTGATGCAATGACCGATTCATCTTGTCTTGCGGAGATGGAGGTGACATCTCGGTATCCTGATCACCGTCTTGCGGAGGCAATGTTGCGGTCTGCAACCTCGAGCTAGCAGTTTGTACAGCTTGTAAAATGGTGACTGGAGTGGCTAAAGACTGTGAGCCAAAGGTCAAGCCCCAAAGTTCGACATATCTCTTGGCTATTGACATGTGCGAAGACTCCAAACCGGCGCAAATAATCGGCTCGAAGATTTTCAAAGAAGCTAGATCATGGGAAACTGATTTTTGGAGAATATTGATAGTAGCTGACGATAGCGCACGGCACGCTGTCAGAATTCTGCTGTCAACGCCGTGGTCAACGTGAATTTTGTAAGATTCGTCCTTCAACCAGAGACCAAGGGATGACTGGAGATTTTGAAGAATTTGTGATTGGAACTGCGGAACACCGATCCCCAGGAAAGAAGTCAATGCCTCGATGAAGTCGGCAAGACCGTGGGATTGTGATGCGTTGAAATTGTGATATGCATCATGTAATGTCTGCGCAGTCGACGCGATAAGTTTATGAGGAAAGATGACATGTCCAGCTGCCTGGATGCCGCTGCGATCAATCCCTAGCCCAGTTCCTTGCATGAAAGGGATAGATAAGGAATGACCAAGCAGTGAAGTCGAGGGTAGGTAAGTATCTCCAGCGCAAAGATACATGAGGCGCTCGGCCATGGGTTCCACAATCATAGTGGCAACCGCTTGGTTCCCTTTCTCTGTTCGAACCACGCGAACAAAGGTTTCAAGTAAATGAGACCACCCTTCGAAAGCCGATGGAAACGAAAGTCCGAGGGAGAGAATCTTAATGACATTTTCGTAGTCACGAGATACAGACCCGTCGCGCCCACGAGCGGATTCCATGGGGAACGACTGCAAAGAATCTGCGGCCACCTGGGCAGTGGCATTCCAAACCACCTCCGAAAGCTGAGCTGCTCGTGGAATAGCACTGGCCTTCGAAGTGCTCAATTCTGCACACTGTTGGAGAAGTTCGAGGCGAGTTCCTCGGGAGAATCTCCCGTTGCATGCTGCTTCAATATTACATAAGACAAGGAGTTTATAAGATTGGCTTGGCACCATTGTCCCCGCAGTGCTGCTGATTATTCGAAGGAGGTGAAGAATAGCACTTTCTTGGGTCGTATTAGGAGGTGAATGTATGGAAATGCTCTCAGTCTCATCCGCATTTCTCAAGAGAAGCTTTTCGGTAAACGGAATACCCCCAATCGAAACAATCATTGTTGTAGACAAGAATCTGAATCTTTCGAAGAACTCATCCGTGGTGCCGGCATTCAATGAGGGCGACCCTGCATTCCAAAGGCGGTGCATTAGACTCCAAACGCTGGCAACAGCTTGCATTGATTCCCCCGAAGGGGTGATCTCTTTGCTGGACGCAATCGATAGAGCACTGGATAGACTACTCCAGGCCAATGCCACATGAGATTGGCCAACCGCGCCATCAACCCAGACCGAGGCTTTAAATATATGCTCAAAAACCTTTAGAATCGAGGTAATTCTTGATCGGACCCATCTGCTGTCGGCTGCAGGAAGTTCCTCCGCCTCCATTTTGGTAGTATCATTGATTCGATTCTCTACCCATATCTTAGCCTGCGTACTCCACAGCAGGTTTGCCAATATGCGCGCAAGACAGTCACTGAGAACCGGGGCTGATGAGAAGATGCCTGCAGACGGAATGGCCACGTATTCCTCCCATATAATATCCAGGTGCTGATAAGAAGCTGAAGGGCGAAACGTGTAGTATAACAGATTGTAGTAGCTTGTCAGAGCAAGTTGAGTGGGCGGTGCTCCTGACTTGTCGGCCTTCTTACGGTCGAATTGAGAGAGTACCGGTTTGCCCAGCATTTTTAGGAGAGATCGGCTCGTTGATTCGTTGGGGCTGACAGCAAAGACAAATCGATTCCAACCAACGATAGCCTGCGCTTTGATCACTGGCTCGCTGCAATTGAAGCATTTTTGGAGTACGAGAACCCATTCCTTGTAATGTTCCCATTGCTCAAAATTCCATCTTTTGCTCCGGAGAAGAAGGATAATGATGCTCCAAATTTGAGGAACATGCTCACCGCTATCCGTCGCCATCATTCGAGTCATGCGCTCACGAATCTCGGACACAAGCTTTCGGTCATGCTCTAATGGCCGGTCAAAGAGATCCCGGATGTTTTTCGACAGTATAGGATTTGGACCGGCGTCTGTCGCCACCTGGAAGCCAAATGAAATCGATTTTGACCTAGTATCCTTCAAAGTATGAAGCAGCCCGAATATCAAGTTTTCCATCCACAGGCTTGCTTGGGAGATGAAAGCGGATTTGGCTTGGCCCAGCAGCCGCTGGTAAATGTTCAATCGATGAGAAACAATTGAGTTGCCACTGATGTTCTTATTTATGTCTTGTAGTACTGTCAAAAGGCGGGCTACACGAGCACCGGTCATAATCTTGGGTCCAAAGCTCTGATTAGACAATATGGACATGTAGTGTATCAAAACGGACTTTGGGGCCTTGGCCTCATGGAGACAAGTGATGGAATGGTCGACCAGAAAGATTTTGAACTCTTCCGAAAGCTGGGTCGAAATCTCCGGATTCCAAACAAACGAGATTGACAATTTCAGAGCTTGATTGGCAAGGTTTGTGTCGAGAAGGGAGCCGTTCGCAAAGTCCCGATTCACATCTCGCTGAATAAACTCGGTGATGAGATTCAATTTTTCGGCAATCTTCTGACCCGCTGGAAGCCCGTTATAAGTGCGTAGCGCACCATAAAATTGCATGTAGGCGTCGAGTCGGGAGCTCATCGACTCGCCAGCCAGCTGTTGGATTACTGATTCGAGCAGCATGGCAAGCGATTCGGCGGTGAATGTATCGACGTTGGGTGACCAAACGGGAATTGGCGACTGGGTTGCTTTCAAGATCGACTTCGTAGGCTTGGAGTTCGGAGACGGAGGGATAGTCTTGAAGTCGGGGGCCGATTTCATGGCACTAGCAAATGTTGGTGGTTTGATGTACTTGGGCCATGGAGAGAAATTCACTTTCTTCGAACTGCGGCTGGATGGACCAACCTGCACCGACCCTAACGCGGAAAATGGTGACTCATTGGGTGTTTGAACGGCTGGTGGTGACTCGGCGTTTTCAATCACAATGCGCGAAGTTGTCCTTGGGGGTGTGGGCGGACGAGCAGGGAGGATCTCCACCATGATTTGAATCGGACAAGAAGTGTGAAAGGGGAAAAGAGCCAATAGTCAAGGATCATTGCTGAATAAGATGCTGTTCAGGCCCTGTCCATGATCTGTTTCAGACTGAAGAATCAAGAAGCCACATCAAGCTGAGAAAACTAAGTTCAAGTTCCGACGCGCCGCGATGCGCGTAAAGTGTCGCCGCCTGAGGCGACGAGGCATCCATACGTGGACTCTCTCATGCGATTGACTATAGCTTCAAAGGCATTGGAGAGTATTTCAGTGTGTGAGTATGTAGTAATCAGCAACAACGATCAGTGTTCAGCGGTCAAAATTTAGCATGAAATGTCTGACTTCAATATATTACTGCCACATTCTTCAGGCAACCAGCGGAGTTCGGAAAAGTTCGAAAAAGCATTATACAAAATATCTGGAATCAAGTGGTGCAAGATAGGGCATTTCTCATAATTATGTAGGAATACATTGTTATATAGATTGCTACAGTTAAGGGAAGCTTAAAGGGGGGGTGGCCGAATAATTTATGACGATTCGCGCCTGACTTTCCCGCGCGCCTCCCTCTCCTTTCTTTTTATTCTCTTGTGCATACCTACATGTAGGTGCCCTACCTGCTCAAGCTACTGATCTGATCAAATCTTACTCTAATACTGTGCCAGAAATTCTATCTCAGCTCAAGGCATAGGTGGAAGTGACATCAGTCCTACATCACCCCTGTACTCGGAACACTCGACTTAGTCCGAGCTAAGATCAACATGTCGTCCCTTCAGATGCAAGGAACAGGTCCGTCGCGGAACTTTCTAATCTCCAGTAGATTGACTGACTTGAGCTTGCACATACAGCGAAGCTACAACAAGTGACACAGCTTCTACAGTCTCTTGAGAAAGACCTACAAGAGAACAACCTCTCAACAGCAGGTCAGTCCGCTGCGATAGCCATTTTACGTGCCTAATACCGATACCATCTACTACTAGACCGAGTTCAAACCCTCCTTCAGCTCCGACAACATGGCACGAACCCTACCAACGCAGAACCGATCTATTCACAGAATGTATGAGCACAACAGATGAAGTTGCCCGTCGAAAATGAGAATTACAATGGATTCTGATCATTTTCAGGGCATTAATACATTGGTGCGGTATGGCGTTGAGGGGGAGACTCCTGAAGTACGCCGAGCGGCATTGCGATGTGTTGCAAATGCGCTATTACTGGACCCCAAAATGCGCCAGGCTTTTGTCGACACGGGATACGGCGGAAAACTAGCAGAAAAGCTCAAGGTATGGCTACAGCAGGTAAATTGTTGGTACGAAAGCTGACACTAATGTTTGATAGACCGAAGACTCGGAAGACGAGATGGTTACAAGCCGCATATTGTTCTACGCGACCTACAACACCACACTAGACTTTAAAGACTTGATCAAAAGTCACGCCTTGGGGGAAAATATCAACTACGTTAGTGGATCGACAGACTCGAAAGTTGATTTGCTGTACTGACTAGTATAGCAATTGAGCCGTCATGCAAAGCAGTTCCCCAAGTCAGGAAGAAAACCATTGTCACAAATGGACGAACTGGCATTAACGGACACTCTGAAATTGATTTACAACATCTCCAAGATATTTCCGGATCTTGCTGCCGAGTTCTCCCCTTCCATCCCTCATATTTTGAAGATTATATGTCGTATTGATATCCCAGCAAAACCCCTTGATGGTTTAGTTGGCGGCTTGCTCAACACATTGTCTATCCTTGACTTGGAGGAAAAGAAAGGCAAAGCCTTCGAGAGCAGCCCCCTTTTCCCGGCATTTGACAACAACTGCAACATGGACAAGCTGATCAGCATCTTGGATCAGGCCACATCCATATATAGCCCGAAGGAGCTAGAGGAAAACGCAGTCCCCTTGCTATATTCACTCATCGCTATCCACGAAGTGGCACCCAATGAACCCCGCAAGCATATGCAGTCGCTTCTTCTGCCCGAGGACACTGACCGAAGCTTGCCAATTGGGCAGTCTGAAACACTTTCTTCGAGACTGCTGAAACTCTCGACAGGCCACTTTACCAATCTGAAAGTTACAATTTCGGAACTGATGTTTGTTCTATCAGATAAGGATTCCGAGAAACTCACCAAGAATATTGGCTACGGCTTCGCTGCTGGGTTCCTGGCAGCGCGCGGCATTGAGATGCCACAAAGTGCACGCGAGGCATATTCAGCTACAGAGGACCCTGAAACCGCACGCAATCCAATCACTGGACAACGGTGGGCCGCTGAGCGACAGGACACCGGTCCACCTATGACCATGGAGGAGAAGGAGCGCGAGGCGGAGAGACTCTTTGTGTTGTTTGAGAGGTAGGTGCATCGTAAACGAGCTATCTAGAGCCATTGCTAACAATTATTTATCGCAGGGCCAAAGCAAATGGTCTCCTTAATGTCGAGAACCCGGTGACTCAGGCTCTCCACGAGGGAAGATTCGAAGAACTACCGGATGATGCTGATAGTGACTGAGCATTACCTTTTGAAGACTCATTTGGAAGCAATGCTTTTGAGCTGTGATTCACTGCATGCACATTCTATGACTATACCCTATAGTAACTCTGTAGCGATGCTGGCGTTAATTCAGGGTCTATGTGGGGTTAAACTTGTCCTTCTCCTTGGTTATACATAGGAAAGTTCTATGCTTCTTGCAGAATTCGAATGCACAAAGAACGGCGAAGTTTTACATGTAAAACCCCTAACATCATGCAACAGCAAGTTATACTAGGTATACCTAATTGAGCCGAACATGACGTTTATACCCGTGGGCTGCGGGCGGAATGACGTCAACGATCAGGCCATGGGTGTAGGCGGAGGCTGCTCTCCGCCCGTCAAAAAACTATGCGCGGGGCACCGAACACTCCAACTTGACTTCCTTTCCATTTCTCATATCACTGCCTTTACTACTTTCTTTGTATCTCAAAGCATTACTATTACAACTACCACTATGGCGAAACCATTCGACCCCGAGGAGGCGGAGAATTTGGAGGATGTACGACCCCACGTCCATACTAAAGACCGATGAATCTTGATCGCTGACAATCGCAACAGATGGAGAAGCAGTTCGCCGTCAAAGGTCAGCCACGCATTGATTTACATCTCACTCACAGCTTTTTTAAAAGTTATAATATTAATATTCTTTCACATTACAGCGGTTGAACATCTCATGACATACTGGTCTATTCTGGAGAAGGTCAAGGGCTCGACGCTTCACTTGACCAAGCAGGATGATGATATTTACGACTCATTCAAAGAGGCATTTCCCGATTTTGATCCCGCCGCAACTCTTGTCGAAGACGAGATGAAGAGCAAAGAGGGCAAGGAGAAGTGGCGCACCTGGATGATGAAGTGGGACCAGATCGAGGACTACAACTTTGGCACCATGATCCGTACCCGTGCGGATGTCGAGTACGACCAAAATACCACCATTTTCGGTGTGCGCATGCAGTTCTACGCTATCGAAATCGCTCGGTAAGTGCTGATTGGAGCTTAGTGAATCATGCATAGAAACTGATGGAGTCTTCTAGAAACCGCGCCGGCCTGAACGATTGGGTTTACGAGAAGGCCCAGAAGGCTAGCTCCTGATTACAAATCGTGTCTCATTGCTGCTGTCCTACAAATCGAGGACAGTTCCTCATCCGTCCGGGCTGATCTGGCCGACGGCCTTTGCCTGTTTCCTTGTGGCGCAGATGATGAATGGCCTCGAGACTTGTAATGCTGATTACATGATCTTGCAGTATCATGTCTTGAGGTTAATATTGTTACGATAGAAGCGTGGTCATACCCATAAATATGTGGTTCTGATTTAGCATCGGACCATTAATCGCGACTCAAATGTAAATTGGATGTCCGCTAGGACTTCGACAGTCTTTCAACATTTGGTCCGAAATATACCCTAAATAAATTGACATTTCCATTGGTCCTCTGTCTATCTTCTGAGCCACTATCTGATTCGAAATAGAGCAATCATTGCGGGTGATAGTGGTCATCGTGCATCAAACATTGAGTAAGTTATCTAGCCCTATGTTTCCTTGACTGTTAGAGATTTGCTACCAACCGTGAAGGCAATGTATGATTGCTGTCTCAAGGTTGAAGTCGATGAATGGTACATTCATCTCAGGTGCCTCGTAACAATGCCAGAGCATGGGTGTCTTTGTTCTGCACCCCTCCTCAATATTGCCGCATTTGGGAATTTCTAAGTATTGTTCTTTCTCTTGGATTATGTATCTGGGTTCACACTCAAATAGCCCATCATGGCCATTTCATGTCGATCTGTATCCTCTTCCATCTTACCTCACTGCTATGCCACTACAGCGCGACAAGGACTATCTCCACAAGTCATACTAGGCCTTCAACGTGCCGTTCGAGCCTGTCGCCAAAATGTTGCCCGAACGCAAGACTTCAGATCATAACGACACTAACAAAGAAAATATCCCCGAGCGCAATCCGGGCTGGAAATCACTGTTCGGATTCACGACTCGAAGACACCTGCCGACTCTGATATCCGGATCTATCTTCGCCGTGGTTGCCAGTTGTGTTACGCCAGGACTTGCAATTTTCCTTGGCAATGTGTTTGACTCGTTCACATCTTTCGGAGCCGGTCAGACTGATGCTGAAGAGCTCCATGGCAAAGTGATCACAAATTGCTTTGGAATGATTGCGCTGGGGATAGCTGGTTGGTTCTTGAACGGTGCATACTATGCCCTGTTCGTTGCATTCGGGGAAATGCAGGCCTCCATTGTTCGCAGCCAAGTATTTCAAGAGTTGCTAAAGCGCGACGTTGAGTGGTTTGAGGCCAAAAGTGAGGGCTCCGGGGCTTTGTTATCGGGGATTCAAGCGTGAGTTTGCGACAATACTCGTTGAAAATATTATATCTAATATTAATTTTAGACACATCCATGAAATGCAGATGGCGACATCGCAGCCACTCGGACTTGTCCTGCAATACTCATGCCGTTCGCTGGCTTCACTGGGGCT